GATTGCAGTTCTATTCTTAACAGATCATTCAACTCATAGAAGGCAAAGCATCTGCTTATGTATTTGCCAGTCCTGGGTGCAAGAAGTGGGATACATGTGCACCTGAAGCTATCCTACATGCTGTGGGAGGTAAGTTAATAGCATTCAAAGTTCCAGGATAAGTAAAACTGCATTAATTTCAAGTTAGTTGTGCTTTCCATTGAAAGAAAAATGACAATACATGCGTCAATAACTGTCATGTAATTAAAAAAGCCAAATCTCTAAATTTGGGGTATATTCATTTTAATATTTTCAAAACAAATGTCCCTTTTTTTTTCTGTTGGCCACTATCTCGCAGTAAAATCTGATGTCCTACTAACTGAGTATAGTAGTTTATTATTAGTAACATATTATGTAATATGTGGATATTGAATTCTTTAAACCAACAAAAATAGGTCAAATCATGCTGTTGTTCTCTGGATGTACAAACTCCAAAATTGAGTCATTCATGTAATTCAACAGAATTAATGGTCTCCAACCAACATGAAACACTTCACTTATCTAGGGGCTAAAGGGGTTGAAAAGTTATGAAAAGACTCACTACTGAGGATTTGAAGTAGTATTTTTTTTTAATTCTTCTTTTCACATTAATAAGCCTTTTACTATATGCTAAAATTATGGGGTTTGATTCCTAAATTCTGTCAAGCAAGGATAACAGGCTTCATAATGACACTTTTGAAGTCCTCTGCAGCCTGTAGTGTTCATAACTGTGGGATGATTTTAAACAGGGTTAGCTCAAGCACAAAGTAACCCAACCAATCTGGGGCAGCACAGTGCTGTATTTAGCGTCTTTGGTAGATAGGAATCTCCTGGTTAAATTAGCTTGAATAAAGATCTGTCTTGCTCTTGCTAAGTGATTCCTAAAATCTCATTTAAAACCAGCTGGGGTGTTTCAACATTATGTTAGTTTGTGATCTAGAGTTACCCTGGTTTTTACTTGAACTGATGATTTTTCCTTGCTGCTTGTCAATGGCAAATGTAAAAGCTACTCAGGAAGCATTTTAAGTAATCCATGAGATAGACATATTTTCCTTTTCCTGAGACACAAAGAATTTAAGTATTGTTGAAAAAAAAACCAACAAAACCCCACTAGTTACTCGATTTCAGTCAACATAAAAGCTGTTGTACTTTAACTGGAAGCAAAGATAGTTCACATCTGAAGACAGGCATGTGTACCACAAAGACTGCTTTAGTTATTTCACTTGAACTAATAGACTCCAACTCCTTTTTGCTGGAATATTTTTTCCTTTTTTTTTTTTTTTTTTTGCAGGCAAGATAACTGATATCTGTGGAAATTCATTTCAGTATAACAAGGAGGTGAAACACATGAATTCAGCTGGTGTCCTTGCCACTTTGAGAAATTATGACTACTATGCCAGTCGTATTCCAAACACTGTGAAAGAATCTCTTGTGCCTTAAAGCAGGGAAGAGTCTTCACTTGGCCTGGAAAGCTGAGAAAATGAGCTTGGTAAAAAAGAAAGGAAGAAGATGACTGAGCATTAAATTCTGTTTCATAGAATCTGAACTGAACTCTTTCAGTAAGGTGTTCAATAATTTCAAAATTATACAGAATCTCTAAGTATCTGCTGGATCAGATTGTTTGTCTATGTTGAGCAGACAACATCAGAACAGTCAAGTTTCTTCAGTAGTTGTTTTCTATATTCTTTGGGAGTTTTTCTTCCTCATGACTGAGTGTAATATACTGCTAATCATAACACTGCATATTCTGGACACAAAATCATGTTAAGTCATGTATCTGATCTTGCTCAATGGTTTCTGTTGTCAATAAGGGTTATTGTGTTAAATACAAATGGACTAAGCATTTCCCTGGATGGATGATCTCATTTGTTATAAAGTTGCCAATTTTGATTCTTAGAGTGGCATCTAAATTTTTTTGGTCTGCACTGAGTTTTGCAGGAGGTAGGACACAATGCAGCTGAGCCTGGAAATCTCAAATAAGGATTCATGGATCACTGGATACATTGAGGATCAGTGAAATGTACATACATCAGAGTTCAGAACAGCTCAGCTGGGAGCCCAAGGAAACATGACAAGGGCACCTCTATGATGATTTGAAATGATTTTTCAGGGTTTATGCCACTGCAGTCTTGGAGCACTTTGGGCATCTAAAGCCAAGGTCACTTTGGCATACTTGGGAATAACACAAAAGCCAGACTTTGAAATTTTCCATGTCCAGATTCTGAGATAAACCAGCCTTTCCAACAGCCCCAGAGTTGAGGAAGTGGACAGTACCATTTCCCTCGCATGTGGAACACAGGCATGTTAGAGGAGGGGAGAAGAACAGGGCCAAGATCACCTAAAATTAACTTTGAATTGGAGATTCTGTTTCAGTCAGCTTTCCCATAGGTGTGGCTGTTAGGAAAGCAGGATTAAACTGCCCAGTCCACTTGAACACAAAAGAAAAGCCATAGTAAATTGCGTATCACTAACTAAAATTGGAAACTTAGACAAACCCTTTTGAAGTCTCTTTAAGCTGAATTTAGGATTTTGGAATTATGCTCTTGAACCAGTGAGGCATCTCTGCCCCTTCTTTTCTCCAGATGTTGTGACTCAAGTCCCTTACTCAAATGATGGAGTCCTAGGGCCTCCTTTTCCCTATCAATGTGATACATACTGAGGCATGCCGTGGAGAGATGCCAGTTTCAACAGACAACACGGAGATTTGCTTTTTTTTCTATTCAACTTGTGGAGAAAAGAGTGACATATGTCAGGCTCTCAGGCAGGTGTTGTCAGGGAGGGTGTCTGAACACAGCTGCTTGCTTACCTAAAGACTGAATCCCTAAGCTCTCACACAATTTTTTTCCTTACCCTCTGCTGGCACCATGAATGCCAAAGTAGCCTGAAGATGCACTGCACCCTTTCGTGCCTCCTCTCTACCCACAAGATTAGGTCTTCTAAATAACTACACTCTTCATCCACACAAACTGTCTTTAAATGAGTGCCTTAAGGTAGAAAAAGTTGTTTTCCATACAAAAGAAGGTTTTGAAATTCAGTTTTCCAGTGTGTTCAAGTTAGTTTTTTCTCCTGTCATCATACAATATATTCAACAACTCCACTTAGAGTCCTTAGATTAGATCCTTTCCTCACATTAGGGTTATACCAATATGTCTTCACTGGCTTAAAGCTGACTCCATTTCCAGGAACGTCTTGCCACCAAAAGATACGAACAAGGCAACCCTTGCTAAAATGTTCCTATCTCTCCATGTGCACACATGGAACAGAATCTAAGGAATCTTTTCCGTAGTGAGGTCATCTTAGCCTAACAGTTACAGATACATTAGCAAGATTAGCATTTACCTCATTCTAGCATTACACTGGATTAGAGCTGCATATATAGGAACAATGTGTGCTTCTAATCCCTTGATCTAAAGCCTACCTTTCTTCTCTTCCTCAATTGCATAACTGGTAAGAGCAAGCAGGGCAGATTCAGCCTACTTTAATTAGAACCTTCTTCATATTTTAGCCCATTAAAAGTTTAGTCATTCCACGTACTGATTGTGACTGAAGTTTGAACCACATAGCAAGTACAATGATTTCACTGCTTGTTATACATAATTTTTACCTTTAATTTATACAGGATTCTTTGAATTATATGCCGTGGCATTCCCATCAAAATCTGCATGTGAATTTGCAAAACATGTTAAGATAAAATGTAGAACAACTCAGGCAACACAAAGGCCTGCCTTAATAGTTCTTTCCATGCAATCATTAAAATACAAAAGACAGAATCCACTGATAGTAATCTTCATCTACTGCCTCTATAACCTTATTTTCATCTGTACTTGCAACAGGTTTGAAAATCTCTTCAGCATAAGCCTCTTTCTAATTCTGCTGTAATTTCTGTCAGCTCATTTAGTTACCTGAATGAGAGTAGAACATACAGCATGTATCAGCTTCTGCATGGTGTCTAAAGATACTTATGTATGGAAACTCGTGGAAATACTTTCCACGCTTACAGAAACTGCAGAACTGCTAACACAGGAGAAGAGTAAGGAAAGTTGAAATTAAATCCAGCAGCAGGAATCAAGCATAAAAACCAGCATGTAATGTGCAGTCATGCTGTGGCTATACCACTACCTCCACTGCACAAAAAGCAGTGGTTCACCATTCAAGCATTTGATAATGTCTCTGTTAGCACATTAGGTGCTACAGTAACATCTATAAAATAGATGGGGGGGGGGGGGGGGGGGGGGTGTGGAAATCACAGGGACACTGCATTGTCCTTGCAACAAATTGAATTTGTGCCAGTCTCCTGCGAAAACTCGGTGACACAGCATTTTGTAATTCATTCCAAGGCTCCAGAAGGTGTCTGGGCACTGGGACAGGCTCTCCAGTGAAGTGGTCACAGTGCCAAGCCTGCCAGTTCGAAAGCGTTTGGACCACGTTGTGCACGGCCAGGAGTTGAACTCAGTGATCCTTGTGGGTTCCTTCCCGCTCGGGATATTCTAGGACTCATTTGACGCGCTGCAAAATTCGCACGTTTGTCAGAAGTTTAACAAGTGACATCCTACAAAACCAGAGGAGTGAAACCACCGCACTCAAACGTGTCGGTGTGTGTTGCGCTGCTCGATTTGTTTGGATCATCACACATAGAAAAGGGGCTGGAGGCATCTCCACGTCTGCTGCCAGACATCCAGCTAAGGGCTTTGGCAGGCAGCGCTCGCACAGCCCTGGGGAAAGCTCAGCCTTAAGAAAGGAAGCACCGACATCTGGTTTGCTGCGGAGCAGGGCAGCCCTCACCTCACCTCCCTCATCCCGGCCGGCTCCCTAGGGCTCCTCCGGCGCGGCCAGGAGCGCCCCGAGCACCGCCCGCTCGCCACCTCCGGCCGGCTCCGGGCCTCGGCAGCAAAGGGACACACCAACCACGCTCACTTCCCTCTACGGCTTCTCTCGAGGAAGTGACGAGCGCTTTCCCCGCCCCGGGGCGGCTCCTGCCGGGCCGCGCCGGGCCCTGCCGAGCTGGCAGCACTGCACGCCCCGCCCCGCTGCCTCTCTCGGTTCCGGCGCTGGCGGCGGGAATGGCGGCGCTGAGCCTCACCGTGGACGCGAGCACACCCCCGCTCGGTAAGTGCGGGCCGGGCGTCACCCCGCGCCTCCAAACTCCGCTCTGCCGGGGGGTCCGGCTGGTCTCTGTCCCCTCCCCGCCCCCCTCGCTCCCTCCTGCCGGTGTTGCATCATGCGGCGCCGGCCGTGCCCGCGTGCGGGGCCGGGCGAGGCGGCACCGGGGCCCGTGCCCGTCCTTCCTATTCCTCCCGTCCATCCCATCCCTGCCTTCCTTCCCCGGGCCGTGTGCCCGTTGCGGGTCCCTCTGAGCAGCTGCTGGGGCCGTGGCGGAGCGGCCGGCGCTGGGCATAACTCTGGCTGCAGGAATTCGGGCAGTGGTGAAGCCTCGGGTGACTTGGCGCGTTGAGGCTGAATGTTCAAGGCAGCCCTAGTTCTCATCGCCTGTTCGTGAGCTCTGCCGCTGTCTTGCTACCTTTCATTTTCAGTTCTAATCTGATGCTAAAATTCTCCTTTGGGGAGCTGGCTCGAAGTTCTCAGTTGCTCACTGCCCTTCGATGTTATTTTGCCTTTAAAAATGTGAGAACCTCCTTCATTGCACTTCCACCCATCTGGAAACAATCTTTTGTATATGTTCCATAAAATGTTTCCATTTCGTTGTCGCTGTTCAAAATAAATTTTCTTCCTCTTTTCATCGTTGTTTATTGATTTCTTTTTCTTGCTGTTACTTCCAAATGCATTTCAGAGTTGAATACAGCTTGCATGATTACTGATTCATGGTATAAAAACATATACATTTTAAATAAAATTTCTCCTGAGACTTGTTTATACTGATTTGCCAGAAAAGAAAATGATGCAATATGAATTATGATTAACATCAGGTTTAGGGGCTTTGGAGACTTACTTTGTTTTACAGCTGGTATGTGGCACTGGAGGTTTGTTTCAGGAGATTGCATGATTGTGTCAGAAATGTTACATATTACAGACGAAGCGTTTATATCAAGGAGACAAGCACACTTGTCTTACTCATCCCTACTTCATTCTCTTCATTGTGTCTGCTGTGCAAGAAAAGTGTCATAGTTTTTAATGTCATCAGTATTAATTACATAGCTTGGTGCACATAATAGTTGTCATTTTCTAAAGCATTTCCGCGCGTGTTATTAAAATACTTACGTGGCTTACTAACATAATGCATAAGGGATGTCAACCTGAATTTCACAGATGGATAGCTGAGGGATGAGAATAAGAACCTTGACTTACTCTTAATGCCAGAAGAAGGGTTTTCAGCTGAGAAGAGGTGAGAGCTGGGCAATTCCTAGCTCCCTAGTGCTTTGTATTTAGGCCGGTGTATTAATAGCTTGTAGTATCATCTGCCTTGGTAGCTGGAGCATTGTTCTAGGGAAGCTAAAGTGCACAGCACACTGTGGAGACTGTAACAGGTTAGGTGCCTCTTCAGACCTAGAGTACAGTCCTTGTTTTGCCTATGCAAAAGCTTGCTGCCTTTGTACGTGCTTCTGAGCAAAGTTAGAGAACACAAGCTCCTCTGCTTATGCTCAGCAGGCTGAGTCTGGAGCAGAGCCAGTGCAGAAATGCAGCCAAGTGAGCTTGGTGCTTTGTTTGAGCTGCTGTGTCGTGCTGTAGAGCCTTGAGATCAGAGCAGGTTTGCATCAAGCCTCTTGGAATGTGGGTAGAGCTGTCTTCCAGTCAATGGTGTAGCCTAAAAACTTCAGTAATTCTTCTCTTTCTGGAGATCATTTTTACTGTCACTGGTGAACTACTTTGAAAACCCAATGTAAGCTTCCTGGGCTTTTACATGGATAAAGTTTCTTGGTTTTGAATGGCTAATCTTTTCATAAACTTTAAATCAGGTTAAAAATAGTCGCATCCTTGTTCAGAAAGTGCTGTTACATTCAGTAATTGATCTCCTTTGATGCATGTGTCAGGGCTGGAATGGAGTATATTGGCAATACTGTTCAATAATTAAGAGCTTTTTGATTACATTCTCCTCATATACTGGGGGACAGGATTAATTTTTACCATACCCTTAGGAAGCAAAAATGTATTGCAGCAGACACTTTCTGAGCTCACTGCAGATCACTGTGTGCTGGACATTATCAATTTGAGGCTGTAAGGATTGCCAGGAAGAAGCCTCTTGCATGAGACTGAACATTGATTTTTTTTGTTTCCCTGGGCATTCTCACTTGAAGGAGTCAGTTCAGTCACCTGGTCCTAGGTGACTGAATATGATATAGGAGATATAAATGCTTGGTTGAAACTATGAAAGGTATCTCTCCTGGACAGAAGTTCAGTATCTTTTTCTCTTGTTTTTTTCAAGGAGCTCTGCTGACAGTGGAGCATGTGAAGAATGATGTTGAAATTTCAGTGCAAGAAGGCAAAGAAACTATCCTCTCTGTGTCCGAGTAAGTGACTTTCCATCTCTCCTTCTGCCTTTGGGTCAGCAGTTTTAAAAATCACATCATTGTAGCATTGACAGTAACCTTTTGAAGTAGGAGGGAAGGAAAAAAACCACAGTTTTATTCGTCACGGCATTACGGTTGTCTCCAGCACAGGCAAAACATTTACAGTATATTCTGAACTAGATCTTTATGGAAAAGACTCTTTATTTACCTGTACCTATGTACAACATTTATGCTGTACCAGTCACTTGACTGTTTAGGACTTTGTGTGGTGCCATGGGTTACCAACAGCAAGGCCGTTTTATTGTAGGGAGGTTTGATAACATAAGATTCCTTGGACTTGTACATGTATGGTGGACTGAAATTTGAATTTTTAGATGACATAATTTTAGGCTATTCAGTGTATCCATCTGCACACTGTAGAAAGAATATTGGAAATTTTTGTAGTAATCTGTCATCTGTCCTTCCAAAAATACTCTGCCATTGGAATGGATAACTTCGAGTTTGGGACACGAGAAGATGGTTTTTACAATCTCAGTAAGATAAAATGCCTATCAGAAATGCAGAACTAACACTGTTAGTTTTGGGAAGCTGCATTGTCATCTTTGATTCCATATGAGTTCAGACATCTGGATATATCAAGAGGAGAGGTCCTGCTGTCTGACATATCAGTGGAAACTCTGGCATTTAATATCTGCAGTAAGGAACATATTTGTACACATGAGCTTTGCAGTTGTAACTTAAAGTATGGTAACACCATGATGAATTTGGAATTGCTGATTTTAACTGTAGTTTTTGAACATTGATTGTTTTTTTTTTTGAAGATTGGGGGGAATCTATTGTTCACAGAGTTGCTGGCAAACTCTGATTTTGTCAGCTAATTCAGTAGAAGATGCTGTTAGAGCCACCAATGCATCATAGACTGGAATACCTGCTTGTCTGTAGAATTGCTATAGAAGCAGCATATTTCATCTTGTATTGCAGTTACTGACTTGTTCCTCATAAATTAACACTAACTGAGCATTTCCATGTCTTTTAACATCAGGTAATAAGCTTGTCACTATGTACATATATTTGCAGAAAATCAAAGCACAGGAAAATTCACAGCCTTCAGTCATGGTTGTTTTACTGGGTGCAAATATTGTTTTCTGTTTAAAATGTTAGACCTGAACTCAGATAGGGGTTCTTGCATAATCTGATATTGCATGTTGTCTTTTGCTGTGCCTGGTGATGGCACTGAATTTGTGGTTTTCAGTGAAAGCAAGAGAAATATGACAAGTTATATTGGGATTTAATTGGTACAGCTTTAATAATCTTCAGTGTATGTTTTGCACATGTGTGATACAGCTTACTTAACAGAAAGTTAATTGGATACTTTTACTTGCAGGAGAAAGTTTTCCTCTTAAGTAGCCTTCGTCAGGTTTAGATTTTGTTTTACTTTGACCGTTTGGGCAGTGTATGGATATATATATATATATTGAAATATATGCATATATATATATGTGTGTGTTTATACATATATCTGCACCTGTGACACTTGGAATATTTTTAATGTATATAGTTTTTTTTGAAATAATATTTATTTCATTAAATAATTTAGCGTTGCCATGCCTTCTTCGTACTGGATTGCAAAACCACTCATTTTGGCTGTAATGAAACTTGTCAGAAATGTAAAGCAAACACTCTTTTTCTGCACTTTGGCCCCAGATAGATAATATCTAGAATCATGGGCTCATCAGATGGAAGTTTTTGTGTGTTAGTGTCTTCTCATCCCTGGCATTGGCTTATGTTCAGGAAGTTATTCTAGACCTTAGTATTGCATTAATTTTCCCTTGCTTGGTTGTCCAATAATTTTGAAAATTGATTCTCTACCTTAAAGTCTGTTAAAAGTATATCTGCAATGTAAGAGGCATCAGCTGAACTCATATCTAAACTAATGCTTTTGCTAAATGGATTTCATGGCATCAGTTCTGCTGAAGTATCTTGTTTTGGCATGATGTGAAAATCATTTGGGATGTTTCAAACTTTGATTTTTTTTTTTATTTTTTTTTTTGGGAATCCTGGAAAGGTAATGACTTCAGTTGAACAAGAAGGAACATTTTATTTGTGATTCTTCTAGGTTTGGTTTTGAAGCTCAGTTAAAATTTGGTGACAAAATTTTTAGCTAACTAGCTGAAACTTAGCCAAATAAACTAAAAAGTTTATTGCTCATTTGAGATGATGAATTTTATTTTAAAGATTATTTTTGAAGACTTAGCTTCAAAACTTCATGCAGTAATAGCTCCTAAGCAAACTACTCTGCTAAGTGCTGATGGCTTTATGGAGAATTTTGGTGTACCTGTCTTGTCAAAACAAGCTGCAGTACAGCTTTTGTGTGCTGACCTCATGCACATTTCAGAGTAGTTATTCCTCCTAAGCAGATCAAGCAAAAGCTTTTTGCAAATAAATTCAAAATTGATTTATTATGGTTGGAAATAATTTGTGTTTTAGGGTTTTTTAAATTATATGTTTGCTTTTATTTTTTGGTCCCTTTTTCCCGTCTTGTCTTCTTGAACATTTGCCCTGTTGTTTAATTATGTGGCATTTCATGTCACTCTCAATAGCCACTCTTGGCCTGTAACATTGCATTGTCCCTGTTTATTCTTCCTTACTTAGCTCTGGAGTGAGCAAGCAATGACTGCAAAAAGTCTTTTATAACTTTTTCAAAGAGGTCAATTAGTGATGTTTGGGTGGGAGTATTTTGTTTTTCCTGAAGAAAATAACTTTTAAAGCATAAGTAAGATTTTACTCGGAGTAACATTTTCCCATTTCATACATGTATTCAGTTTTGCTTGAGTAATCAAGGGGTATTTGTTTTGGTATGAATTAGTGAAAACATTAAAAGTGCATTTCACAGACTTTTCAATTGAAAATTTATTGGAAAATATTTGTTTTTCTCAGTTTATAAAAGCTCCCTTAAAATCTGATAGTGGGAAATTAGAAAAAGAAACATTTTCAAGTGCACAGTAGGGTATAATTTAAACACTCTACTGTGACTTTTGGTTTTAGTTATATTTTATGGATCTTCTATATTATACTGGATCCTAGATGCTTGGAAAGCAAGCAAAATTAAAAACAAGCAAACCAAAAAACCCCTCTCAATGAACTGTATTCCTTAGGTTGTACTGCAATTAGCCTAATGAGACTGGCTAGTCTATTTGTACTAAAAATGGGACACATTCTAATTGTTAATATATCAAGTACATTCTGCGTAATTTTCAGAACTTTTGTTGATTTTTGCAAGGCTTGAGAGCTATCAGAATTCTTTTAATTTTATAAATGACACAGTTGGTAAAAAAAGGAAATAGAGAACAAGGGTGGAACAGAAGTGAAAACTTGGTTGGACATATTGGGGTACAGCATTCAGTCCATTAAATTGAGTAAATGTTCAAAAAAAACCACAGGGACTCCTTTTGTTGATATCAATGCTTGGTTTAGAAGCAACTGGAGCTCTGTTTTTTGCAATCTGCATCTATGTGGGACTGTAGAGTAGAGATGAGTATGATCTGGAGAGCCGATGCTTCTGATGCATCTTTCTTCCAAAGCTCTTTAGTAAATAGTAATTTATCTTAGATGAACTGGAAGCTAGATTTCTGACAGTGTACAGCTTTTTTTGATACTGCATGTAGTGTAGAAAAGTGACCTGAAAACAAAGTACTCCCTTCGGAGAGCCTTTCTTCTGCAGGTGTTGAGGACTTTTATAAGTGGAATGGGGACAACAAATTCAAATTAGACTGTTATCTGGAGAAGACTGGGTAGAAAAACAAATACAGGCAGGCAAGTTTGTTCTCACCAGGTGATGGTTTCTGTGAAGTGTGAATTGAGTAAAGGAAGTAACAAATGAACAGGGATTTTTCCCCTGATGCTAGCCCTTAAAACCATGATGAAGACCTCAATTCTTCTGTTGATTCACTAGGAATCCTCTTCAAAGTGATCATTCTTTTATGAAAAGAAAATAAATATTGATTAGCTCCTTATAATCTGGAAAATATGTAGTTCAGGTTATACTTATGAATTCGTCAGATGCGGAGAGAGTTTTAGTATTTGAAAGAATAATCAGTCTTATTTTCTTATTTTCAGCTTAAACAAAATTCTTGCACATTTAGAAGCTTATTATTCCATCTGGTGATAGAAAAGCAAGGACTTATTTATTCTTGTGCTAGATTTATTTAATTTTTACTTTTCTACTCTGGTGACTTGGTACCTGTTGGCTCACCTGGAAGTTATTTTGTGTTTGCTTTGCACATGTTTCAACTATGGATGTGCAATTAAAGTTGAACTGACTGGAGATAGTAATTTACTTTTGCCTTGCCCCTCTCTTTCTTTTAGGCAAGTTTCATTTACTGATGTGAATTCAATAGCCCGGTACCTGGCTAGAGTTGCTGCCTCTGCTGGGTTGTATGGCTCGAATCTGTTGGAACACACTGAGGTGAGAAGGCATCACAGAATCATAACATGGTTTGGGTTGGAAAGGATCTTAAAGACCATCTATTTCCAGCCCCAAAGACCATCTGTCTCCCATGGGTGGGGATACTTGCCTCTAGACCAGTTTGCTCAAAGCCCCATCCACCTTGGCCTTGAATCACTCTCTTGTCTCTTGGGGTTTTTTTTTCCTTTTCCCTTTTTGTCTTTTGGCCTGTTCTGAGTTGGGGGGGTGGGTGGGTGGAGGTTTTTTTAACCTTGTGTCTGTTGTTCTGCATTTTACTATTTGACTGAGGTTCCAGCTATGTGTGGATGCTGAGGGGTTTGCTTTGGTAAGCTTCCTCCTTCATATAAAGAAATATAAAGACAAAGAAATCTGTATAAAGACTAAGACATCTGAGCTTTGGAAGGGTTGCCCTTGCCCACCCCTTCAACAGCAACTCCTAAGCAGACAGCTTGCTAGTATAAAATAATTCAGGTTGGAATGTAAAATACGGGATTTTCCCTCCTCGCTCCCCTTAGCTCTGTTGCCATCAGTTGCTATCTTGTAACACTTCAGTGTAACACCAAGGAACACTGTGTGTAATTGAAATCCTGAAGTAGTTTTTGCTGTCTGTGATAGATAAAACCCTGACCCTGGTTTCTTCCAGGGGTTTCTTCCTGGGTCTAGCTCAGAATAATCAATCATATGCTGAATTTAGCATACTAGCTGACAAAATGAAACTAGCACACGAACTGAAATTTACTTTCTCTGAAATTTGGGGAGGAACTGAAGGATTTGATTCAGTCTTTTCTTCTTGAAGCCAGTGGTAATCACTCTTCAGTCACTCTTCCGCCCTCATAGCTGGTCTCAAGAGAAATATTGTCTTAGTACTTTGCCTGTGAGGCATTAAAAAGTTGTAAGTTATCTTGTGGCTATTTAAAATTTCTGTCCAAATCCCTTGTTTTTAAGTTAAGCCCAGACCTCAGCAAACACACTTGCAGGGCTGGTATTTCTGATACAATATGTCTTTCCACTGCTGCTTTTTTCCAGAATAATACTGTACTTGGAGAAGTACAGGGACAGCTGCATTTGTGGTGCACATATTTTGGCGTGCAACTGCAAATGACTGAACTGAATTCTGTGGTGGTTGTAATTACATCTGTGCCTGCCACGTTGGCTGGAACATTGGAAGCATTCCTGTTGCAGTTTGCAGAACAGTTAAACATGAAATAGGACCAGAGAAAAGACACGTAGTCTCTTGTAGGATTGAGGGATTCAGTTTATATACAGGGCTACATTATTAATCAGCCTAATTCTTAATATTTTTTTAAGTACAAAGATAGGTGGAAAAGACTTTTGCAGGAGTGGGGAATAGGACTTGTGAAGATCGGGGGTTTGATTTCTTCAAATCTAAAAGGAGATGAGGAAGAGAAAATAGGGACTGAGGGGAAAATGGTATACTAACCAGCAGCAGCACCAGGAAGAGCAAATAGGTCACAAATATGATATGTAAATAGCTAAAGGACAGTGATGAATTTATATATACTCTTGTGATAAGTGAGTACCTGAGAACTGCTTATTATTTTACCAGTGGGAATAACTTCAGTGAAGTTGATGTTTTTGGCAGTTTGAATTCATGCTGAAGGAAGAAATTAAATTTCATTATTTAGTATCATTCTTGGTGAATTTTTCAGTATAATATATTTTAAATATTCTTTCAACATATGTCATGATCTGATATATTTAATTCTAATGTTTCTGTTAATATTTTCTGTTCAGCTGTTAGATCAATTGTGTATTATTCAGTTATTTAACAAGCTTAATTCTCATTCCTTTAGTAACTTTAACTGTCTTTTGTCCCTTCAAACAAGATTGACCACTGGCTGGAGTTCAGTGCTACACAGTTATCTACTGCCAGCCAATTCCCTTCAGCCATCCAAGAACTCAACCACTGTCTGTCTCTACGGACCTACTTGGTGGGAAACTCTCTGAGTCTTGCAGATTTGTGTGTCTGGGCTGTACTAAAAGGTACTGGTTTATGTTCTCTGTTCCAATGGCTTGCAAAATCAATATATTGATACTCAATCAATATACAACAGGAATGCCCAATTTTTCTTTTTTGTGGATGCTAGTAGTGACTCCTAGCTCTACAACAGACTGTACTGTCATGCACACTGCTGTGACCTGTGCATCACTAGTGATGGCAATAGTATAGCTTAGGAAAACCTAGATTTTATTTTTTAAATTATTGTTACATTTGGAAATTTATGAATTGTAATCCCTAGGTGGAACTTTTTCTAATTTCTTTTGTGCTAATAATTGCAAGAACATCTTTTATTACCTGTTGCCTCAATAAGAAAATGTGCAATTTAAAATTATATGCATTGACCTTTCTGTGGCATTGTCTTAGCAGAGGAAATTTCTTCAGTGGTTATTTTGAATTATTAAAAGACGTAGATGTTAATCTGCAAAATACCCTTTAGAGGTTAAAGAAGCTTTGACCTGTTTTTATGGATTTGGTTTTTATTTTCTCTTACCTCTATATCTAAAGGTGGTAGGGGACAAGCTACCATTCAGTATAACCCAATTTTACTTGAAAGTAAAGGGAATAATTAGGATTAAAAGCTAGCAGCTTTTGTTATTTTTTTCAATGTTGCTGCTCTTAAGAGCAATCTGAAAAGCTGCTGTTGATAAAAATAATTTTATTTTTATAATTTAATAGTTTGAGAACTTCTTTGTTTTCTAACAGATAATAGTACATGGCAGGAGCAGTTAGAACAAAACAAGGCTCCTGTGCATGCAAAGCGGTGGTACAGCTTCCTTGAGGTACAACATGCTTTCCAGTCAGTAGGAGCCAAGTGGGCTGCTGGTACACCAAAGGTTAAAATGGTAAGATTTACTCAGATCTTCTGGGGAGAGTAGCTTTATTTCTGTGAATACACTGCAAGAATTTTTTGTTTTTAAGTTAGAGAATTAAGAACTGAAAGTAAGCAGTCGTAGAGTGAACTAAACTTTTGTAAACTCTTGTTTACAGCTAAAGCTGTTACTTTCAAATTTAGAAAGGCATAAGTTGTCTAGTCCAGTGCATAGGTGGAATTGTGGAAATATGGCACCTCTTCTTTTAATCAGCACTGCTCTTTAGATATATTGTTTGCTTTTTCTAAACACAGTTTGAGATCCTGATTGGACCTGCAAAGATTGCTCTTGTCAGTTGACTGAATCTGTTAATCATGTTCAGGTTAAGAACACTAAGATACAAAACCTTAACTACCAATTGTTTTCTTCCATGGAATAAATTAGACAACTTGGTGGGACTTTTCAGTCCTGGACCAGATTTGAAGACAAAATAACTTAAAACTCTAGAATTCATCTTTATTTGGAGTGCCTTGAGTAATGTGAAAGTTGTGAAGAGATGAATTTGGGGTCCAGTATGGCAGCTTGTAGGTTTGAAAGGAGACTTTGATACAGCAGTTATTATCTAGAGTTATATATCTGATTTTAGACCTAGTACAATCTGTAATTATGTCTCTTTTCAAGGCAACAGAAAAAGAAAAGAAAGCAGATGTTGGGAAGTTTGTTGAACTTCCTGGTGCAGAGATGGGAAAGGTCATTGTGAGGTTTCCTCCTGAAGCAAGTGGGTAAGAAACATGGATACTTTGACAAGGTTCTATTTTGTTTTAAAAAAAAAAAGAAGTCTTTTGGTGAGGATGTTAATCAGCTTATCAGACAAGGCTGTTATAAAAAATGACTGCTTAATGGTTTGTCTCCACTAGAGCTGTTTGTTCACTTCTCTTCTGTACTTCATTGCGCTGTTGCCTGAACTTGGAATAGGGAGTTTAGTTGTGAGGTGATGTTGTGTTTCTCAGCAGTGGGATGAGGAGAAGCAGGAGGATGGCATTTGTGTGGATAATGGATGTGTGTGGCCTGCCAGGAACTACGGTGTGGACGTGCAGTCCTTATGAATTGGGTCAAGGGACTCGGTGCTTCCCAAGGAAGCTTAAATTTGAGAAAGGAAATATGTATTGGATAGCCTTCCTTGGGGAAGCTTGACACCAGATGTATAATGGAGGGCCAGGGGTCCAGACTGTGTGGAATACCAAAGCTCAAACTCCTTAAAGACCACACAGAGGAGCCAGTATAATAAACTCAATTTTCAGACAGCTTTTAATTTTCTGTTTCTTTTTGGAGTTGTCTGATGGCCTATAAAATTTCCACTACTGCATTTGTTCATTAAACTGGCTGTTCAGCATCACGTGACTTCTGTAGTTCTGTTTCTTACTCTATTAGTCCAATATAAACTATTATTCAAATATTGTAAATTATGTATTATGTACATGTATGTCTATAACATACATTATTCTCAGCTTTAGTAGTTTTTATTGTCTTAATCCTGGTGTTTTAAAACACTGTTCTTCAGGGACATGTTACTCTCTTTTTGTAAGAGACTTTAATTTTGTGGATTTGGGGATTTATATTTAGTTTAAAATGTCAGTAGCTTTATATCTTATATTAAAAACCACACAACAATCAGAAAATTCCACTCTTGTGAATGTGGTAGGTTCAGATTATCTGGTAGCTGCTACTGGGTATCATCAGCAGTTGGTTTGTCTGTAAAAATGGAGATAATTGCAGTCCAATCTTATAGTAACACTATAATTTACAGATTTAGTTATTTTTAACAGTTAATTACAAAATTTGTGGTAGAAGAAACATAATCTATTTTTATAAATGTGTAGTATTTCAACAAATATCCTAGGTTTGCTGTTTGTTACACTTAGGTATTGCTTTCCATTCTTTCTCCTTCCCATACAAATAAAGAAGTCTAGCTGAAGTAGTTGTGGTGTATATATTTATTTTTTAATTTCCTTTTTAGATATCTCCATATTGGTCATGCCAAAGCTGCCCTGCTAAATCAGCACTACCAACTTAACTTCAAAGGAAAGCTTATTATGAGATTTGATGACACAAATCCAGAAAAAGAGAAAGAAGACTTTGAAAAGGTATGATAAGATAGCAGAGTGATTATAGGCTGTGAAAGAATGGTAAGTGCCTGCCTCTCTTTTATTTCATACTTATTCTTATGGCTTATCCTTCCTGGACAATGGAGCATTAAAAACACCACATCTTACATGAAGAGGCTAAAGAAAACTACCTTTCCTGAATATTATAGTGTACATTTTCACACTTGGCAGGTTATTCTTGAAGACGTTGCCATGCTGCACATCAAACCAGATCAATTTACATATACCTCAGATCACTTTGAAACAATAATGAAATACGCTGAGAAACTTATTCAGGAAGGGAAGGCTTATGTGGATGATACTCCTGCAGAACAAATGAAAGCAGAACGTGAGCAAAGAGTGGAATCTAAACACAGAAATAACTGTAAGATATTTTAAGCTTTTGTCTTGCTTCCTTACCTTTTTGATTTGGTATCAAAGCTTGATTTTTATTAACAAATATGAGTGAGGTTACTAAATTGTGTATCTTCAAAGTCCTTATAGGGATTTGAAAGTGTTTAATGCTTTGTTCTACAAGGCTGGACGGATTAAGTACATTTAGACCAGGACAGTATACTTGTGTGTGCATGAATTCATCACCATTCATTATCACTTAAATAATTCACAGTGGAAAATGTGTGAAAGTGAATTCCAGTGTCTAGAGAGGGAGATGACACTGATTTTTGTTACTGCCGTAATAAAACTTGATTCTGTATCAGCTTCATTTAGAAAATGGTGTATTTTTGTTGTTCTTAGGTGTTAATAAGAATCTACAAATGTGGGAAGAAATGAAAAAGGGAACAGAATATGGACAAACTTGTTGTCTACGAGCAAAAATAGATATGAGTAGTAATAATGGATGTATGAGGGATCCAACTCTTTATCGTTGTAAAAACCAGCCTCACCCTCGGACAGGAAGTACCTACAAGTATGTCCACTTTCTCCTTGTGTGGCCTGTAGCTTTTGCTCTTTCCAGGGCATTTACAATTACTTAGTAAATTTCTTTTAATACTTGGAACTTGCTAGCATTTTTCAACTAGAATATGTGATGAGTCTCTTGACTTTCTGAAACTTGTGCAAATTACTTTTAAAACCTGTGAGATGGCCGTTATAGTCAACAGTGAATATTATTTCAGTTTTGGTCCTTATATATGTTTGACAAAAACATTAGCAGTGAAGGGTAATTTTTTTTAGGCTTGAATATTAAGGCTGTTATCAGTTCATTTCTTGAAGACTTTCTTCATCTTAAAAATATGTTGCCTTCTGGATCTTTCTGTGGACAATTAGTTGTGTATGTGTTATTTTAGTCTTGATCTGAAAGTTTTCAGGATCATAGGTTAGAAATATTTATAATACATGAATATAAAGTTGAAATGTTTAGGTGGGAGGAAAGTGTTTTGTTCTACCCTACTAATTAAAGATCTTTTTTGTCAGGGTTTATCCCACATATGACTTTGCCTGCCCCATTGTTGATAGTATTGAAGGTGTCACACATGCACTGAGAACAACGGAATACCATGACAGAGATGAACAATTCTACTGGATTATTGAGGCTCTGGGTATAAGGAAACCATATATATGGGAGTATAGCAGGCTAAACCTCAACAACACTGTGCTCTCCAAGAGAAAGCTCACGTGGTTTGTCAACGAAGGCCTTGTGGATGGATGGTATGTTCCCTGGCTGTAGGTCAGCACTGTTCCCTAAGATTCTTGTGACTGGCACATTCATTTTTGCTTTGGAATAGTTTGAATGGATATTTAAACAATATTAAAGAATATAGATTAATTAAACTGGCTTGTGTATGTACAATGTGTCTGTTTCCTACTCTACAGTAGCTGTGTACATACATATTCATGGCCAGTTATAAACATGAGGCACCTTATTTTTGGACTCTGGCTCTGCTGTGGGTGGTATTTACATGTTTTCCACTCTTGAGTCATTGGTTGTTGTCATTGGAGTAATTCCTAAACAATGCCAGAAGAGGGCCTGGATTGAAGTGTTTCTGGTCCTGTCCATCTAGTCAAATCCATCCCACTTCTCTCCAGCATGCCCTCACCCTCCTTCTTTTTGTTAATTTTTTCAGATTAATTTGATTTCTGCAGACAGTGTTTGGTGGACTAGTTGTCAGTTGAATTGGAAGCTTAGATTCCTAGTTTATGCATGGAGCCACTTGTCTAGAGCCAAATTTATCCTTTCTTGCCCCTGCCTGTTTTTTTTTTTCCCTAGAGATGTAGCTGATCTTATGATGGCCTTTACTCTTCCTTCCCTAAGGACCCCTGTTATGTCCTCAGCAAGGTTTGGTTCATGTTCCTACCAAATTCAAATGTTACATTGCAGGTCAGGCCTTTTTATTTCTTCCATAAGAGAAACAAAAAAATCATAGAATTCTATCACTCATATAAAGAGGTAGCATTGTCACTTTTCTCCATTAACATTTTCTGGGTGTCCTTGGAAGGGAAATAATGGATAGTGACATAACTTTTGCCTTGCTAGTTTTTTGAGAGACCTGACCTTCACCATACATTTTGTATGGATAAGAGCTCAGTCTTCTCAGTTAGGTGCTCTCACCTTGCTGGGAATTCAGTGACTAAAATACACTGAGGCTGTGCCTTTCATGTGTGACAGTATTAGTAAAGTTCTTGATAAGTGCAGAATTAGAAAATCTAGTGTATGGCACTAATGGAACACTGTTTTCCACTAGGGATGACCCAAGATTTCCCACTGTGCGTGGTGTCCTGAGAAGAGGCATGACAGTTGAAGGACTAAAACAGTTTATTGCTGCTCAGGTGGGTGTTTTCTTCTGATTCTTTGAATCTCCCTCGCTAAGTTTCACAAATTTTTGTGGGAGGTTCACTGGGAGGTTTCTGCTTTTGAAGCTTTGCTACTTTGATGTGTATTGCTTCAACAATGGTAGCACCTGTGAGTAGGTGTTGGCAAAATGGACTTGCATGTTTCTTATTTGGAGAGGGTTTATTTTGCAAGCTCAAAAACTGTTTTTGGTTAAAACAAACCATAGAGAGTTTTCAGTTTAAAGAACTTTGTTTTAAATCAGTCTAAGAGCTGGAATATTTACATTAATGTGGTGTTGGTTTTTTTGTTTTGTTTTTTTTAATCCAGGGCTCCTCTCGATCTGTTGTGAATATGGAGTGGGATAAAATCTGGTCCTTTAACAAAAAGGTATGTGCTTACTCGGATTTGTTGCTACTCCTGATATCCTCTTTCTAGGATATGTAGAGAATCCAGCATTCATTGGAGTGCTTGTCACAACAAGTAGCAGTTGCAGTATGCTGCATCATTTGGCGCACTCTCAGGAAAATGGAATGTGCCCCCCTTCTAACCTGAAGAAGCACTAACCCTATTGATTCTTCTATACCAGTACTTACTTGCCTTCCTTAGTAATATGGGAAAGGATAATGGTATTTGTGTAAAACTGATCTGAAAACTGCATTTCATTTTTCTGCTTTCAAGCTGCGAGCTATCTGTAAGAAGGTATTACTTAATGCTTTTTACCTCAGCATATAGCTTACAGTGCTGTAAGCATACATAGCATAAGCTATCATTTTGCAGCTTCATAGCACAGTCAGTCTTGCTTGTATAACAGGAGCTCTACAAACCCACTGAAAATGCATTATTCCTAGTTTTCAAAGGCTGCCCACCTCTGGGTTGGCTGATTTGTCAACATAAACACAAATTTTCCCCGACTTGGTTCATGTTGGCCGCGTTTCCTTTCTGTGGCAAAAGGACAAACGCACTGTGTGCTCTGCCTGGGGAGACCAAGCCAGCACTGCTGGAGTTTCTGACTGAATGGCAAATCAGGAATACTGCATCTTGACATGATGAGTTGCTTTTTGGCAGCAGATGCTTGGACACTATAATAAGGCGATTTTTTTTCACGAGGATTGCATATTTTGTGTGATTGTGGAAAAACCTGTTATTTTGCATTGGGATTCCTGCTTGATTTTGCTTAGATAGTACCCAGATCTGATCATTTAAATAGTTTTTGCTTGTCTGGCATGTGTCTTGTATTTCTTCATGTATTTTGCATTTGATTTGCTACATACACGTAGATTTATGAATTGGTTCTTTCTGTTGCTGCATAAATATATTTATGACTAACAACGGATTTGAGGGGAAGAATCAACAATGGACTGTCAAGGCTCATTTTTTTTTAATTGACTTTTAAACTGAGTTTCTTAGACCTCTGGCTCAGCTCTTTGTACAGCACCATATTTATTAGCCAGTTTTATTTACATGTGGCTGTGCAGATTGAAAGCTATCTGCAATATGAGAAAAACCAGTTGGCTGCTTACAGGTAATTCTGAGCTCAAAGACTTTATCAGTGTGACAGCTCATATTTTATATGTAATCCTGTAGTTTTTAGCACCTGACGAGGGATTGAGAGTTTTAATGAATAAAATAAAGAGCCTGGTAATAACACTATAAAATCTGCTCATTTAAATATCAAAATTATGATATTAAATCATATAATACCCCTACATTTTGAGATACATACACAAGTCCTTTTTCAAAGTGTATGTTTAACCTTTAGGTGTCTGACTTCAGTGACTACTAACTTATAAAAGTGTGTCTTCTTAAAAGTATATCATCATATCACTTTATTATCTAATGTCAGTAATTAGAAACTAAATACTTTTCTCCAAAATATAGAAGAATATATAGCTGTGCAGCTTTTCACTTTAGCCGGAATAAACCAAGAAGAGAAAAAATCACTTTGTATTAATAAAAGCAGGTGTTTTTGTTTGTGCCAGTTTCCAGTTAACTGGGTAGATCTCTGATACTCCTTTTGGCCTTAGATGACTACTTTACTTGAATTGTGTATTTAAGTGCTTCTGAACAGTTTTACAACTGAGTATTTCAGGTATAAAAAATACTGTGAAAAACTACAGCAGCTAGGTTTGATAATGGGCCATAAAAATACAGGACGACCTCCTAGTGGTACCTTTTTCTTACCAAACTCATGTTATAGAAAGCCTAATGAAGTCAATGTTATGGTATTGCCTTATTATAGTATCTGATGTGTCTGTAGTAAAATTGCAGACTTGATTGGTGCCTCCTCTGCAGCCAGTTCTATTACTGATTCTGCTGGAGTACTGGCCTGGAAAATGAGTATGAGATCAGGTCTTGTACTGCTGGAAAAAGAACAAACTCCACTTAAAAATTATTGCTTTAAATTTAGTTAACTAAAGAAAAAGTGGTTCAGATGTATTAGCCTATGTGCTGAGTAAAACTCTATCAGAGTACATTTTTGTGTCTTCCCTGTAAGGCATTGGGTCATAATTTTGGTTACTTCTGCTGTCAGTAGTACCCAATTCAGTTTTTACTCAGAATTTTAGTAAAGATTGGAAATTGTAAAGTACTACCACTATTTTCTCACTATTCTATAGCTTTGGATGAAAGTGACATTAAAGCAAACTGTGAAAAAATGCAGTAACATAAAGAATACCAGTTAATAGTCTTTTTTTTTTCTTTTGTGGTGATTGTTTTGTAAAGCATCTTATTTTTTTGTCAGTGGCATATATTCATGATCTACCTTATTTGTTTTCTGTAGGTCATAGACCCAATAGCACCTCGGTACACTGCTTTACTGAAAGATGCAGTGGTCCCAGTAAATATTCCGGAAGCTCAAGAGGAGATGAAAGAAGTGGCTAAACACCCAAAGGTTCTTGCTTTACTCTCTTAATATTCTTGTACTGCAGCTCAGTAAGGTTGGGAAGTACCTTGGCATGGAACGGTCAGGAAGGAGAGTCCTGCTTTTAGCTTGCTCAGATAGCAGGAGATCTATCCAAGGGGTACTTTTGTTGTGCCTCAGAATTGTCAAAAACTGTGCAACTGCTAAACTTTTGTTCTTTTAAGAGGGAACTCTTTTTGTAAATATATAGAGCGTGTGTAAAAGGTGCCTTAAAAGGCCTCTCTGGGAGTTTTCAGAAGAGGTGAGTCATTACAAGCCTGGAGTGCTCCTCAAGCTGGTTTTCCTGTTGTTTGATGCTAACTTTCACAGAGGTTAAATATTAAATTTTATTCAAGCTCTGTGGCTATAATACAGTAAACACTCTTTATCCATTAACAGAGAGGTGTTTTAAAGTGGTTTATAAAATCAGGTTTTATGTGGAGAGGTAACATATTAACCTGTTGATTCTGTCAATCTCTGGATTTTAATATGACTTTTAAATTTGTATAGCAAATAGTTCTTATCAAAAACTAAGAACTTGCTAATTTGATACTTTCAGTATCCAGTAAACAGAATAATATCCCTTAAAAGGGAAGTGTGTTACTGATACAACTCTTTCTTGGTGCTACAAGTAACAAAGATACTTTCCTTTGAGTCTGAGGTCTTAAATTGTTTTTAAGTGTCACTGAAATCACCCCTTAGTTGTACTTATATACATTTACACTGAGAAATGAGTGAATATTGCTGAGGCTTTACTTCATTTTTTTGTTTTGATTTTGTTGCTCTGAGTGCTCCTGTAGCCATTTCTTGTAACTGAGAGTTGGACATTGGGTTTCCCCTCTTGCCCATGGCTGATAAAAGGAAACAGGTTTTGAGCAGATGTGAGAGTTGTGACTCTTCAAGGCTCAAAGACGCTGAAGTTTGGTCAGATGCAAGCCAGCATATTAAAACAATGATAGTACCAGTAAGTCCTGCCTCCAATATGTAATGAAATAAATACTGACCAGAAGGAATAAATTGAAAACTCCTGACCAGCTGAGAAAGTCTGAAGTCAAAGCTGTCAGCCTTTTTAGAAAATAGAAGTTTATCTCAATTGTTGCGATACTTCAAAGCTGAATATTTTAGAAGTGATGTAGTTTTGGTTTCTGTCTTTACAAATCTATGTAGCTAAAAGAAGCTCCTTATATATTTCCATAATAACTTTATTAAAAAGCAAAAAATGAGCGTTCTGCAATTAGTTTTGATGGGAATTTGCATAGCGAAATGGAAACTTGAGAAAAAGTTTGGGTTTACCTGTGAGATCTTAAAGATGCATGGACCTTAAGGAAATGGAATATGCTGTCAGTGGATTTTTTGGGTGTATTAGGGGAATGCAGACAACACCTGTAAAAGAGACTGGAGAGAGTTGTGGAAAAACATTGTGGCTTTGCATTACTGTTATTGTCCATCTTCTGTCTTCATCTGTTGTCTTTGAAATGTAAACAATTATTCACAGAATGCTGACGTTGGGTTGAAGCCTGTGTGGTACAGCTCCAGAGTCCTCATCGAGGGCGCAGATGCAGAGACCCTGGTGGAGGGAGAGGTGGTTACGTTCATAAATTGGGGCAATATCATCATCACCAAATTAAACAGGTAACCTGTTCAGTGGCAGATGAAATTAATTTTTAGTTTCCAGCTTTTTGTTGCCTTTTCTTTTAACAGGAAGCTTGTAACAGTAAAGAATTTGTAACAGTAAAGAACTGATGGTTGGCCATATATGTCTATTCTATGATTCTGTGTCTATAAATCTACTTTGAAATATGCCATGAAACTGCATGTTAGCATAGGGTGTATATTTCTGTAGATTTAGGTTGGAAATCATTAGTCAGTCCTGATATTGCATGTCCCTGTCATCCAGTGCTCTCCATGATTCTGTGGTAATATTGCCACTGTAAAACAGCTTTTTCAGACAGAAAAAAACCCCACCTGAATGTTAACAATTTTCACCCTGTAAAAAATACTGCTTTTGCATACTGATAAACTAAACCTGCCACAGTTTCAGTTGCACAGCTGTTGAGGTGAGAAGGAGACCATTTAATGTCATCGTGGTATCTTTGAAATGGTTGTGTTGAGACAGTGCCAGAATGGAGTGAGCTCTGATAGCGAACATAAATATGCAAAGATTTTTTTCCTTACGCTTTTTGCTCTATATTAATATTTATGACAACAAAATTAATGGAGAATGTAATTGGCAGTAAATGCACTCTTTCATTTTCTATGATTCACACTTTAAAAATTAACTCTGAACACTTATTTTTGCAGTATTGAATCAGAACTGGTCATTTAGGCTGTACCATTATAATTTCTGTTTTCCTGTAGAAATTCAAGTGGAAAAATTGTGTCCATCAATGCCAAGTTGAACTTAGATAATAAGGACTTCAAAAAAACTACTAAGATCACTTGGTTGGCAGAAACTCCACATGCACCCCTCATCCCATCTGTCTGTGTTAATTATGAGCATCTGATCACTAAGCCAGTTCTAGGTAAAGATGAAGACTTCAAGCAATATATCAACCGAAATAGCAAGGTGAGTTATATTTTTGTCCCCTTTAATTCCACAAAACCTCATGTTGGGTTTTTTTTTTTGGTTTTTTTTTTTAATTCAATGTTTCTAATTGTGGTTTTTTGTTCAACAGATAAATTGTGCTGGTGTATCTAGTTTCTTTGTTTCCATGTAACCTATCATAATCTCAAAATTAAAATGTGACTCTTGTTTATTCTCAGTTGTTACCAGGCTTTTACACATGTGAGACCAATAATTTGAGTTTTTGTCTTGGTACATTCTTACGACATAGCATCTTCTTGCTAGTGCTTGTTCTGCTGTTTCTGGAATTAAGTAACATTTTGACACTTGGAAAAGGAGTAAATCACTACTATCCTTCTACAACTCTATTTCTTGCTGTTCCTTTGCTCTGTTAGACATGGACTGATTTCTTTTAATACTTGCAGCAAGAAGAACTGATGCTGGGTGATCCGTGCCTTAAGGAGTTAAAAAAAGGAGACATCATACAACTTCAGAGGAGAGGATTCTTTATTTGTGATCAGCCCTATGAGCCAGTGAGGTCAGTTACCTGAGAGTGGCCTAAACAGACTACACAGAATTTGCTTTAGCTTACTGTGTTTTAGTGTTTTCACACACATTGACAAGAGTAATGTTGTCTGCAAATGTTTACCCATTACCATGATCTTTGTGAGTAATATCTCTGTGGACTGGCATGGCTTTAATTTTTTATTACGTTCCTGCCTCTTCAAACTGTCTTAAGCCAAGTATGTGGAACTTGAGGTTCACCCCAGCTAACCTGGACTTAGTAATGAAGTCATGGTTTCGTTATGATTTGGAGTATAGAAATTAAGTAGCAGTGCTACAGAATAAAACAGGCATTTTTACAATTAGGGTGTGCACATACTACTTAATTGTAATACTTTCTTAGCAAGCTAAGAAACATCTACATGCAGTACATATAAATATGATAAAAAAAGGAAAACGTGCATGCAAGAGGAATCATTGTAGATCCCCAATTATGTAAATTTAGGTAATTACAGCTGTGTATCAAAGATAAACCTGCAGTTGTGTGAAAGCATCTTTTAGAAAGAGCAGCTCATTTGTTTCAATAAATGTTTGATAATTATCTTTTATTTCCTTTCCTGTTGTATTTTCTATAAATCTTTTTATAGTCCGTACAGCTGTAAAGATGCCCCATGCATTTTGATTTACATCCCTGATGGACACACTAAAGAAATGCCAACATCTGGGTCAAAAGAGAAGACCAAAGCTGAAACTGCAAAGAAAGAGGTAAACTGGTTTTTTAGGAAAGTACCATAAAATGTATTATTATACATCTATTTCTGTATGAGATTACATGCTGAATACTTGGCCCTTTTTTTTTTTTTTTTTTTTTTATTTTTTTTTTTTAAGGCTCGTTCAACTGTAAAAGGAAAATCTGCTCCAGTTGTTGGTCATGCCTCTACTCCATCCTGTGCTGAAACATCTGAAGGTCACTTGATCATCTACAGCAAGGTGGCTGCACAGGGCGATGTAGTTCGTGACTTGAAGGCTAGGAAGGCAGCAAAGGAAGATATTGATAAAGCTGTGAAACAACTGCTGGCCTTAAAAGCAGAATACAAAGAGAAGACAGGCCAGGAGTATAAGCCAGGAAATCCTCCAGTATCTGGAAGGGCACAGTCATCAAAGCTTGAGACCGCTGGTACCTTGGACAGTAAAGCTCTGTATGATAAAGTAGCAGAACAAGGAGAAGTGGTCCGAAAACTGAAAGCTGAGAAAGCATCTAAGGTGATGATTAAAATAATCCTGTGGTTTTGTCTGGGTTTGCACAGCCCACTGTTCTCTCTCTGTGAAGGTGAATGGGGGCTTATGGATCCAGGGTTTTTATCGTGATCTTCATTTGGACTGGGCTCTGTTCTGTCAAGACTTGTGTTTTGCAATACTTACTTCTTCAGTTAGATTTGTATGACCAAGTTTATATTGGTGAATTCCCATATTTCTTAGGCTAGTGTTCTGAAACATGGACAGAATTTACCCAATAGCAAGAGTTGATTAAGTATCCAAATCAAGTCCTTGAGATTAAAACGCCTTGGCAATTTCTTAATTTGTTTAACTCAGTATGGTCAAATTATGTGACTTCACAGGATTGAATTGTTGCTGTTTAGACCGTGAAACAAAGCTCCAAAACTGCTGCGCTGCTGTCAGTGTCTCTACTCCCCCGGGCAGGGAAGAAGGTCGCACCGGCTGAGCTGAAAGCACAGCAGCCGACAGCCGGGGGGGGGGTTGGGGCACTTCCCAGATGCGCCGGGGCATCCCGGGAGCGCCTCAGCAAGGGGCAGCAGGGAGCAGCAGGCAGGCGACATGGAAGAAAGAAAGGAGGGACCCTCCTCGGGGGTAAAACCCAGAGTTTTTATTGTCTCCAGGGGAGCCAGCCGAGAAGGGACCTCGAGGCAGGAATACAGCAGTTTATAAAGGGGGCGGAACATACAACACATGAACCAATGAGGGAGAACTTGGGAGAAGAACAAAACTCGTGAGAAACATGCCGGCTAGCCAGTAGGGAATGTGACAGGGAGGGACTCTTGTTCCCGATCCAGTCACCCACCGAAGAGGGGAGAACTTTCTGGAAAGAGGGAAGGAGACAGTGGGTGTTGGACCGGAACTTGGGGAGGGATTGACAGAAGGTAACCAGGGAAACAGGGGAGGAAAGAACGAATTGACACTCTCAGAGAGAGAGGTTCCAGGGGAGGGGGAGAGGGGGATCCCAGGACCGAACCATTATAGCTTTAGGGGGTAACAGAACACACCAAATGAATCCTGCACCACAACACAAGACCAGAAAGGAAAGATCCAAATGCCACAGATGTTTTTGAGAATCTTCCTGTCTTTAACTGTACATAGCAAATATAGCTACTGTTAGCTGTGTTATTTCCTTTCTTTTTAATGCAGAGCAAGAAGAGAGGGAAAATAATGTAGTTTGCACAGTGGTTAAATAATGTTGATAGTAGTAGTATCTTGATGGCACCATAGAATCTAAATAAATGAGAAGATCTAAATTAATTTATTGTTATAATTTTACTTAGGGCAGTTAGGGTTGTACATCCCTTAAGAGGAGTTACTTTGTTAAAATAGGAAATTAGTAGAGAAGACTTCTGAATGACTCTACTAAGTACTTAGGAAAATGGAATAGGTGCACATAAACTGCAGGTCTTTTTATGAAAGTATTTGTGGTACTCTTGAGAGTCTTATGTCTCTATATCTTTGTTCCTCCCTCTTTCTCCCCCCTTCCTTTCTTCTTTCAGGATGAGATAGGTGCTGCTGTGGAAGTCCTTTTATCCCTAAAGGCAGAATATAAGCAACAGACAGGCCAGGAGTACAAGCCTAGAAGCCCACCTTGTGGCCTTTGTCCCTCCTCAATGTTCTCCTGTTCCCACTCCTCCATCCCCATGTCCAGTAGACAGCAAGGCTCTGTACAGCAAAGTAGCTCAACAAGGAGAAGTGGTCCTCAATCTCAAATCAGAGAAAGCTTCAAAGGTGTTCTGCCTGTGGATACTTCTGAGTGGAACAGTGTCTTCAGTTTAGGCTAAAACTCAACGTCAGGTTTTGTGAAATTTGAGGAGCAAAACATAAGCTAGTTCCATGAAGTGCTTTCCCAAATTCCCTTGAGCTGATGATATGGCTGACTGCATGAGTTCTGTGTTAGTGCATGGAAAAGAAATAAGTTCTTTTTTTAGTCATACAAGATAAGTGAAGCAGAGTATAGGCAGTAACTTGGAGCCAGAATGGCAGCAGTAAATTTGGGAATTACCTGATCATGACCAAACAACCATTATTTCTTCAGAGTCTGTGTATTTGCTACTACTCTCCAGTGTGCAGCTCATGGACTACTATAACTGGAGGGGACTAAGCCACCTAAATGGGAGGCTTTTATGGCACAGAAATCAGCCCTTACCTACACTACCTGCATTGGTCCTTTGGCGTACAACTTGTAGGTCTTCTGGCTAAAAAGTTTTACCAACAGAACTTAGTAATAGCAGCTTATACTTGCAGGATAGCTCTAGAAGTTTTATTACAACAGCTGTGTTAGTGCCATTCTAGTAATGGCTTGTGTTATCTCAGCTCTTGTGTTACACCTCTGTTATTTCTACCCTTATCTGCAACTGCTGTTTTTTCTCTCTTGCTTCAGGAAGAAATAGATGAGGCTGTGAAAATTCTTTTAAACCTAAAAGCAGAATATAAACAAAAGACAGGTCAAGAGTACAAGCCTGTAAATCCACCCTCAATGCCTCCTTGTCTGTCTTCCACGGCGCCTCCATCTCCTGTCTGCTGCAGTAACTTAGCAAGCTGTAGCTTAGTAGATGGCAAAGCACTTTATGATACTGTAGTTGAGCAAGGGGAAGTGGTACGCAGACTCAAGGCAGAGAAAGCTTCCAAGGTACAATAGGCATTAGAGTGAGCAATTGTAATTGTAATCACATTTGACCACTGGGGGGAAATCTTTCACCAGGTAGTGACCAAGCTCCCCTATGTCCGGGTCATGCATGCTCTGATAATGCCAAACAGAACTGTTCTGGTGCTGGATACTTTCCTGACTCGGATATATGAAGTCAAACTTAACCCCTTATATATAGGTGAATAGGCACAAGCATGGCAGATATTGACCTTGCAGAAGTGTTTAATGTATTTTACCATCTATTGCTGTATTTGGGACAAGTGACTGTTCAACTATCTAGTGTGCTGCAGCAATAGCAAGATCTATCAAAATGAGACAGATTCAGTGATGGTTGTGGAAAAGAACAGGAGACAAACCTGCAGCTTTTTAGGTGCTTCTGGGGGGCGGGGGGATTTCTGCCTGTATTTCCACCTTGCAAAATTAGTTTAGGTATTGGGTTGTTTTTTGGGGTTTTTTTTGTTGGTTGGTTAGGTTGGTTTCATAGCCTGATAATCAATGCTTCTGGCCAGTTCTCTCTTTAATTCTCACCAGTAAATCTTGCTATTTGTCCTCCACATAGGATCAAATAGATGAAGCAGTAAAACTCCTCCTTTCTCTAAAAGCTGAATACAAGGAAAAGAATGGGCAGGAGTACAAGCCAGGACACCCACCAACAGCTCAGGGGGCTTTGCCTCAGACATCAAACACAGTATCCAGCGGTCCAGATACTCCTGAAGCTAAAGCCCTGTTTAGCAAAGTAGCTCTTCAAGGAGATGAAGTTAGGAAATTAAAAGCAGAAAAAGCAGATAAGGTAATAACATCTACACTGTAGTGTAAAAATGTAATATACGTATTTAAATCTAAAAATCTCTTTAAAATTCAGTGTGATTATGGGAATTAGAAATGTACCTTTAAAATAGGCAGCATTTGAATTCTGGGATCTGAAATATTCTTTTTAAATTAGATATGCTGTCAGGTATGATCCTATAAAATGTCAGCACATTAAAGTTAAGTACTGGCTTATGCAGATTTTTCTGCCAATAGTCTGTGAATGTCCATAAAGCCATATAGATTTTTTTTTTATAGACCCATATTATTCCAGTGATTTCTCTATAATTTTCTTACTTTTTTCTTTTCTTCAAGGAAAAAATAGACGTGGCTGTTAAAGAACTTCTTCAGTTGAAGGCCCAGTATAAGTCTGTTGCAGGAGTTGACTATAAACCAGTGTCTGCTAGTGGTGTAGATGACAAAGACAAAAAGAAGAAAGAGAAGGAGAACAAGTCTGAAAAGCAGAGTAAGCAACAGAAGCAAAATGATGGCCCCAAAAAAGAACCTTTGCAAGGACAGAGTGGTAATGAGCGCTCCTCAAATGGATCAGGAGAGGGCCAAGGCCCTAAGAAGCAAACCAGGTAAAGATGCAGTCTTTAATCTTATTGCATAGAACCATTAACTGTCTACCTATGTTCAGATTTAGAGTTTGATACGTGTCTAATTTCATTTGAAAGTATGGACATTTGCAAAATAACTGTATTGATTTTCATATTCAGGATTGAGCCAAAAGCAAGTTACCAAAGTTTATTTAATGTCAGTTGTACTTCAGCATCCTGTATTGTTACTGTCACTGAAAAGTTTTTGTGCTTATTATTTGTTTCTGTAAATGTGCTGCTGTGTCTTGCTGAAAATTTAGAGGTCTTTTTACAGCATGTATTATGCAGCACTATGTATTTCCTGTTTTATATACATAAATCATATATTAGAGACAGAGATGCGGTTATTTTGTATAGAAATAATGCCAGAAAAAAATGTGTTTCCCTCCTTTAAAACTTCTTTGTTTGTAGAGATATAAAACTTTTACTTTTGTGTTCTGTCATTTGAGTCTGGTGAGTTTAACCTTCTTTAGAGTCCTGTAGTTTTATTGGTTATCTTTATTTTGAGGTAGGGTCAGTTTTCTCAAACAGTGTGACTGACATTCACATGAATGGTGAATTCAAGTTGCATGTCCTTCCTGAAATTTTAGCTACTGTCTAGGTAGGAAATGTTTAAAATAAAGAGTAAAGCAGCTTACACACAGGTCTGGTTAATCTTAGGTTCTTACTGGACTCCTTACTGGTGGTTTGGTTTCTTAATATGTTGCTGTGAGGTTCTTTGATGCAGCCATAGTGAGAATTAGAAGTGTTCAAACTATACTAAATAAATGGAACTGTTCTTATTAAATATTCTTGTTAGGGTAAGGAAATACTAGCAACTCCCACCAGCCAAAACGTAGCCTTTTGATGTAAAACTAAAACATTCTCTTCCACCTTACTATTCCATTCCTCCTGCCCCAAAAAAAGAAGAGAAAAAAAAAGGGTTAGGATAAGTTTCACAGCTAAATGCTGAGCAGCACAAATCTGTTTCTTTTGTCATACCTTAGGCTGGGTCTAGAAGCTAAAAAAGAAGAAAATCTTTCAGAGTGGTTCTCTCAGGTAAGTGCACATCAGTTTGATTTAATTGTTTCATTCTGTAATAAATCAATGTCTGTTAGGAATTTACATATTTCTGATTGAGTTCCTTTTTTTTAATACAAAGCAAAGTATTTTCTCTTTTCTGTCTTATGTTATCATGGTCTTTAATAGAAGTGCCTTGGAGTGAAGAGCTGAATAAATTTATTAAGCTGTAAAAAGGGTGAGTGTCACCCACCCAACCTTTTATATATAATGTGTATATGGTTTCCTCGTCTCATATCTGGATTCCTCTTTTGTTAAGAGTAAAACACTTAGTTGAAATTATAGGAATTCCACAGACTTGAGAGTTCTGTTTCAGCTCAAGGTGATGCATAACAGAGTGAATATCTGTTGATACTTAACAATTTTGCTAGCTTGTGAGATTGAAAACAACCCAGGCAGAGATGACTAGTTTAGATTAGTCTTGTTATGAGAGATTGTAAGTAGTTGTCAATGGTGTGCATTTCCTGTCAGTAGTATAATTTTTGCCTGTACTCTAAGGAATAAAAGTCTCTTCTGACATGATCTAGAGACATTTCTTACAGAAGTGCAATTTTTTTTGTTCCTGGAAAGTTGCCATAGTCTCTTACTTGGGTTCATGAAATTCATTTTAAGTTTTTACAGTATTTAGACCTATTATTAAACTTAATGTTCATGGTTAACCTTCTCTAGGTAACACAAATGACCCTAAAGTATATCTTAGCTGCAAACAATTTGAGCAGTTTTAAGTAGGAGACTTCTCTTGAGTTGCATGACACACCCTTGAATTACTGAATGTTCTCTGTGTACAATCTGAAACTTCAGCCTCTGATTAATCTTTTGCAAGGTGATCACAAAATCAGAGATGATTGAATACTATGATGTGAGTGGCTGTTACATTCTTCGTCCTTGGGCTCATGCTATTTGGGAAGCCATCAAAGACTTCTTTGATGCAGAGATCAAGAAACTTGGAGTGGAAAACTGCTACTTCCCCATGTTTGTGTCCCAGGCTGCCCTAGAGACAGAGAAGTCTCATATTGCTGACTTTGCTCCTGAGGTACACTTCAAAACTTCATTTTAATCTGACTGTAAGAAAACCCAACCATTTAGTCTGCAGCTGGTGGGTATGAAAGTAAGTTTGGAGCTAGAGGATTTTTTCCCAAACTTGTTTTGTTTAATTTTTTTTTCTCTTTTTTTTAGGTTGCTTGGGTCACAAGATCTGGGAAAACAGAACTGGCTGAACCAATTGCTATACGTCCCACAAGTGAAACAGGTGGGTCTGTTTTCATGTAGTTTGGCTATAAACTTATATGTGAAGTTCTATGTGTAGTGTAGCTGATAGACAAGAGTCCCTTCTGAAAAGTGGAAGCCCCCACTTTTCAGAATGTTTTCTGTAACTCCTTAGGAAAATTTCTTAATCTTGTTGCTGCTCATAGGAAATCCACATTATATGTTCCCTTAAATAGGCACTTTTAGGAAATGCAGACATTTCAGGAAATTTTTTGTTAATATCCTGAAGACTGGCTTACTTTGTCTGAAAATACATTTGATTATTTGGTTTATAATGTTTATAAGAATTTTTTTCAACTCATAATTCACTTCAGTTTTGCATGTGTTTTGACTGTAATTGTTCCTCTGAGTAATTTAAACAAGCATTTTAAGACATAAGGCTGGATGAGTTTTTAATTGAGTCAATTAAAAAGGAACTAAATAGGAATTAAAGGAACTAAAAGGAATTAAATAGGAACGACCTGAGGTCAGGTAGTTCCTATTTGTGAACCCAGGTGTATTTACCATACTGTAAGCCAGGGATTCAAACCCAGTGTCATTAAATAATAAGCTTTGAATTGTACTTGGACCAGCAGCAACCAAGCTCTTTTGCAGAGACTTGGGATGAAGTGGAACTACTCTGGTGAAAATATTATGTATTAAGACAAAAAAATGTATTTTAAAGGAAATGAAACATAAAAGCATAATTCTCACAGCAGAGAATGTTAAGCTTATATGTACCAAAAGGAAAAGTTTGATGTGTCTTTATTGTGTGGAGACTCAAAGCTGCTTTCTTTTTTCAGTAATGTATCCTTCCTATGCAAAGTGGGTGCAGTCACACAGGGATCTTCCTATCAAGCTTAATCAGTGGTGCAGTGTTGTGGTATGTGTACACAATTCCTGAGTACCTCTTCTTATCACAAGTGCAGTGTAGGACAGTTATTCTCTATGGACTTGGTGTGATCATAATGATCACAGCACATATTTCAAACCAAAATTATTACCATGGTTTATATGATATGTTTTTCTCAGTGTTTCTAATAAAACATTCTTTATCAATGTATATGGTTGATTGTATTAAGTAGAAATCTGTGAGCAGTTAGCTTTTTATCATTATTGAGGATTTTCTAGTACTTGCTTATAAACATTATTTGTAACAAAAATTTGACGCTTCATAGTGTTACATTTTTATGCTTCTGCCCCTCCAGCGCTGGGAGTTCAAACACCCCCAGCCTTTCCTTCGGACTCGTGAGTTCCTTTGGCAGGAGGGTCACACAGCATTTGCAACATACGAAGAAGCAGCAGAGGAGGTAAAAACAAATGCACTGGTGCTTCTCCTTTCAGGAAGTTACCTTACTCCACAGCAACACAAACAAATCTTTGTACTGAGACCTCAAGGAAATATTTTTTTTGAGAGCCCTTGTGAAAAATGCCAAGTTTATTAAAACCCATTTTTTTCTCAGATGTAACCCATTTCTGAGGCTTCATTCTTTACAAACAATATGGGAAGTTTGAAGAGTGTGATATATAGTGTGTGCTTACCTTAAAATTATTTTTCTTAAAAATACTGAAAAATCAATTTTCATTAAAAATTTAAATAATGCATCCACGTGTTTACTACTAGAAGTTCTAAAACTTTCTTTGCCCAGTTCTAAAACTTTCTTATTGTTTTCTGTCATGACTTACAGTTGTTGCTTTTTCATTCAGGGAAAAGAACATCCAAAGTTTAAAGTAATTGAAGAAATCTTAGTTTCTAAACAAAGTCTTGAGAAAATGTTAAATCTTAAAGATTTCAGACTCTGTCACGTAAAAATATTTCATGCTGTAACAAATGCAAAATCCTGAGTAATTCTGAAGATAGTTTGTTCATCATAGGTGCTGCAGATACTTGATCTCTATGCTCGGGTGTATGAGGATCTCTTGGCAATACCTGTTGTGAAAGGAAGAAAGACAGAGAAGGAGAAGTTTGCTGGGGGGGATTATACAACCACTTTAGAGGCGTTTATATCTGCCAGTGGAAGAGCTATCCAGGTATTTAGCTATTAAAATAATTCTTTATTTCATTAAATATAGGAAGATGAAATATTTAAACTGGTGCTTGATAGACTTAGATTTTCATTTAATAGAATTTTCTGTGTGCATCTATTTCAGGGAGCAACATCACATCATTTAGGGCAGAATTTCTCAAAGATGTTTGAAATTGTGTTTGAAGATCCCAAGAAGCCAGGAGAAAAACAGTTTGCTTATCAGAATTCCTGGGGCATTACAACTCGGACCATTGGTGTAATGACAATGATTCATGGAGATAACATGGGATTGGTACTCCCACCTCGTGTAGCCTGTATTCAGGTGTGTAAAAATGCCTTAAACTGCTTTAGTTTCCTTTCTTGTCTTGGAATTCCTAAGTATTTCGTATTGGGCAGCTGGAAAACTTAATATAGGATGGAGCTGCCTAGTTAAAGAGTAGCTGTGTGAGGTTAATACAAATTATGAGGATGCTTGTGGTGGACCAGTCCCCTTTGACAGTTCATCCATTTGAAGTAATGTTATCTGTGCCATTAGTATGAAAAGGGAAACGTGTCCTTCATTTCTGAGAGCATGAAGGCAATTACTGGAATATAGGGCCACAATATTGGTTTCAAGTTTTTTATAACTATGGGCTAATTTTTTTTTTGTAGCATAAAGTACATGTCCTGTTCTATTGCAGGTTGTAATTATTCCCTGTGGTATCACAAACTCCCTTTCTGAAGAGGACAGAGAAGCTCTGTTGAAGAAATGTAATGAATATCGTAGCAGGCTGCTTGCTGTCAACATCCGTGTCCGGGCTGATTTAAGAGACAACTACTCACCTGGCTGGAAGTTCAACCACTGGGAACTCAAGGTACTTTTCTTTCCAGGAGAGGTTCTGAAGCCTAGGTGAGGAGAATATATGAGGTATGCTATGTGTGCCCTGTGTTCTGAAGGCAAATGTGTTCTGTAAATTAAAATCTGCTACCTGATAATTAGTGATCACTTTTGTGAATAAATGAAGAAATGGTGTTTTCAAAGACTTGTTCTGTTTGCTAGGATTTGCATGTCATTAGGGATATTTAAACCTTCAGGGCTCTACTTATATACCTAGAAATTTAAATTAGGAGCATAAATTACTTGCATTTTTAGAAATATGTACTAATACTTCAGTGTGTCCTGACTCACAGCAGAGCCTTCTGTGAATACAGCAGAACAGAGAAGATAAACCTGCAGTGTCGGAAACGAAAGGAGCAATTTTTTTGTTTCAATATTGCCATGTTCCCTCATATAGCACTTGAGAGGAACAGTTCTGCTTCCTCTAATATAAGAGGCTTTTATAAAACAGAAATAGTAAGCAAACTAAAACAGTGGTAATAATGGTAATTAAAAATTGAATGATGAGTGTTGTTATGGAATCATATTTTTATTCTGAATTTAAAATCAGTTTCAATATGTTAATCTTCAAAGTAACCTGATAGAAGTGACCCAAATTGTTCAAAGTTTCCATTGTCTCAAAGTTCTCTTCCCTTTGTGTAACCTTTTTTTTTTTAATGGAGCTCTAGTACTGTGAAGCCATGTTGGAAAACTTTCTAAATAAAATTAGGTTTTTCAAGGAGGCACACAGCACAGGGTAAACTTGGTGTTTTTCATAAAATCTACTAATGTGTAGATAATACACATTAGTATAATAATGTAGTATAATACCAGTCCAGTATAATACCTAAACTGCATCTTCAGGCTCATTGCAGGAACAATACACTCCTTTTATTGAATGTATAAGGAATTTCATAGGGTAAAAAATACAAAGGTGCTGGAATAAGAAGTAAAGGAATTAACTGGAAAATATTTTGCCTTACGCACTTGTCAGCTTAGCAGACTTCTGATGTTACTTCCTAAAAAAACCAAGTCAGTGGTACTTCTTTTGTATTGTCTGGTATTAGTTCCACTGCTTTCTTGAGAAATCTGCCTAAGGGACCATGAACTATTCTTTCACTTTGTAGTATTACAATTAGAAGTACTGGATACTCCCTTCCAAGTTTTTATTATGGAAACAATGCTTTGTGGGCATAAACTGGAATGTTCAGTTTTAATTGCTTGTTAATTGTAGTTTTGAGTAGCTTTTTATGTAGCTTTGCAGCAGTAGTAGATAGTTCATTGGTCAGATGGATCTTACTGTACTATTCACCTTTTTAGCATAATTAAAGTACTGGGGGCAGAGGGGAGTATAGGGTATCACTTGGAAGCTGTGAACCTGAGGAGATTCCAGAGTACACAATGCATAGAAAGCTTGGTACAGGTTTTGATTCTCCTGTTCATCTCTTGAACACTGTGGAATGGTTTTAGCTTATAAACCTACTGATTCAGTTTCCTTGGGGGAGAGGGGGGGAACAAGAACAATCCTCCAAAATGTATTTTTATGCACTCTTTTCATTACCTGTGAAAGAATGTGTACACTCTGGTATACATGTTAGGATGTAAAGAAAATAAGTTACATGGTAGACTCTTAACTCACTCTTTTCAGTAACATGGAAAATCTTTTTGTCTGATGATGTGATTTTGTCTGTGGGGGATGAGAAATTACATCTTACCACCAAAGTTTGTAAACTTTGATATGATAAACTTTGATAAACTCTGAATTACTTGAATTTACTTGCTTTGCTAAAGCAATTAGATGTTTGTAGTCAAATATTCAATGGAATTAATGTTGATATTAGGGCTGTATTTAACAGAACTTTTGCTGCTAAAAGAATACCTGTTGAATGCTATTAAAAGCATTCTTTGAAAACAGAATTCACTGTATTAATGGGTGAACTAGAACATTATAATTGCTGTAGAAGTCTTAATTGTTCAGACTTAAAAAGTCTGATTTGCATTATGTGGGATAACTTAGTGCAGTTTCAGCAGTGCTTCAGTATTACTTTACACTGGCACTGATGCAGTCTTCAAGCTAGTGAAGTGAGGTAGAATGCACAAGTGAAGAGAATGAGGATGAGAAAGACAGAAATGCATAAAAGCTTTGGAATATATTGTGATTCTTTTTTTCCAAAGAAACTTAAATGTATCAAGTGAGTTTATATTAAAACTGGACTTTAAAACAACAAAAAGCCACAGAGAGAGAAATCTTCTGAGTATTACTTCATCATAACTTCTAATTTTTTTTTTCCTTGAAGGGTGTCCCAGTCAGAGTTGAAGTGGGACCACGAGACATGAAGAGCCAACAGTTTGTAGCTGTTAGAAGAGACACAGGGCAGAAGCTGACATTGTCTGAACATGAAGCAGAAGAGAAACTTAAGCAGATCTTGGAGGAGATCCATGCAAACCTTTACAGCAGGTAAACTAGGAGTTACAGTAAATGGCTCTGCTAATCAAGATGCCCTTCATCTGTCAGAAGAATTTCTCACGTTAATGGTTTGTCTGTGGAGAAAGACAGGTTAGGCTCATCTTCCTGTTTGTGTCATGTAATTTTCTACCTCTTGAACTCCTTCACATTCAGCGATAGGAGCTGCCTGTTGTTCTTATCAAGTTAAGAGGTTGTGAACTTACTTTAAAAAATACATCATTGAGTTCACATGTATTATTAATAAATAAATACACCATAAATACCTGTGACCCATTGGTCATTATGTGACCAGTGACCTTAACACTGCCCAAGGAAGGGCAGCAGAGCTGGTAAAGGGTGTAGAGCACAAATCCTGTGAGGAGTGGCTGAGAGAGGGGGGGGGTGTTTCTTCTGGAGAAAAGGAAGCTCAGGAGGGACCTTATCACTCTCTACAACTGCCTGGAAGGAGGATGTAGCCAGGTGAGAGTTGGTCTCTTCTCCCAGGTAACATGTGACAGAATAAGAGGAAATGATCTCAGGCTGAGCCAGGGAAGGTTAAGATTGGGCATTGGAAAAAATGTATTCACTGCAACTGTGGTCAAGCATTGAAACAGGCTGCCCAGCACAGTAATGGAATAGTCATCCATAGAAGTGTTCAGAAAACATATAAATGTGCTTATGGACATGGTTTAGTGGTAGGTCTGGCAGTGTTGGCTTAGTGGATGGACTCAATGATCTTAGAGGTCTTTTCCAGCCTAAATAATTCCATGATCCTATGTACAGGACTTATTTTTGAAAGATGCTTTTGGTGCAGAATTTTGAAAGACACAAAGCTGTCCAAGTAACTTCAGTAGCTGAAGTTCTGTGTCCAGAAGTGTATTTTAAGACCCTATGGACCTTCACAGGATTGTTTTCTTGTAAGCAATCAAATACTTCTGAAACTGTTTTTTGCCCTTACTGCAAACGCCAAAATCCCTCACAGGTCTCTCACTGCAGATTGTTGCTTGTAAGTCCACTGAGAAGAACAGGGTGTTGACACAGCACTATTTCTTTCTCTGATGATCAAAATTGTTTACAGGCAGAATATTTTTACCTAGTTCAAAAGCATCTTGGGATTTAGGTTTAGAAGATAATTTAAAAAGCAAAATATACATCTGTCATGGTTTGACGCGGGCACAATGCTAGTGCCTTCATGCAAACATATTTTTTTTAGTGGATGTTGTGAGATGTGATCAGAAATAGGCTTTAACTTAGGAATAAAGGAAAAAAAAACTTTATTAATTACAGTATCTAAAAAGGAACAGACACAGAATTTAGAATGAAAACTTTCTAAATATATTATTCTTCCTCTCATTTCTTCTACAGCATGAAATAAAACTTTAGATTTTTATCTAGTTACTATCTTTTAGATAATTAACTTTCAGTCTATCACTACTTTTTAAATAATTAACTTTTAGTTTATTAGGGAGAGAGGAGTTTTTTTTGCACTATAGGCTTCTTTTCGAAACACAGTTGAAATCTTTTGTGTTTTCATGTTATTTGTGGCACTGTTTGGAGAGCATTTGTTTTCGTGACCTTTTCTTTTTATGGTCAGTGTTTTCACTACTGCGCATGGACCAGAATTGTTTTTAAGGTTCTCTTTTTAAGGATGCATTCCTCAGTTTTAAAAAAAGCAACAGTTTCTCAGCTTCGGGACACTAGTCCTTTTTAAATTTACTTCTTGGGGCCGAGGAGCCTCGTGAACAAAGATTTTTTTCTTCACTGAAGACAGAGGGCATCACTACACCTTCTTCAGCTGTCTTTGTTTACACTACTGCTTCACCGTACTTTTTTGGCTCTAAGGCATTGCTTCCCCCTAAATGTAGTTTTTGTGTTACAGGAAAAACATGGGTCTGTTTATGGCTGTACAAGAAAAGAGTCTAGCTCAAGGCTGCTCCATCATTTCTTCTCACCTAGGATTCTTCTTAACTCTTCTGACATTTCTTACTTGCACTAACTTTCATCACACTTGCTTATTTCTTTTTGTTTTATTTCTCTTTCCTCATTCAGATTCAAGAGGATCAGTATTTGTAAGGTTTCTGTTATTTAAGAAAAGGGTTAAAATTTTTGCTTTTGTCTGCTTAGAACTCTAATGGCGGCCAGGCACTTTCTTGCGCCACATCCTTCACTTCTGGCCAGTCGTGCTGCTAGCACACGACATCAAATTTTAAGGCAGCACAGGCACTGGCTCTCTCTCTTTCTCTTGATGTTCTTCTGCTTTTTCATCTTGCAAAGCCTTCGCCCTCTTCCTATGCCCAAGGCTCCGGCCTACCTCACCTCGGCTGCATGGCTTCCCCTCTCCCACCCAGCCCCAGCTGGGCAGGGGAGCTCTGACTTCTTTCATTGACCCGGACCAAGAGAGTTTTTTTGGGAGTTCTCTGCTTTTTAACCCCCTGTGTTCTCAGAGGCAGTCCATGTTTTCAGTGACTAAACCAGGTGCTAATACTCAAATCTAAGCACTGATTGGTTTGACCACAACTTCCCAAAAAATTCACTTCTTTCTCAACTTAGGACATCTATAGTATTTATTTCTGTCTGCTTCAGGTCAGTGTTTAACTGGTGGGCACAACAGTGTGAATGAGCACAGTGAAATATACAGCAACCTATCAGCAATTAATCAAAATTTTACCTCCTTGAGGATCAGTGGTAGAAAGACATAACCTGATTAGGAAGATTCTAATGAATATATAGCTCTTTTTGTAACCTTTTGTTTTGACTGGCTCTGAAAACTCAGCTCATTGGGCCAGTGAGTTTATTTGAATAAATCTGCCCTGACTGAATTTTTTTCCTTTTCTTAGAGCATCCGAGGACCTAAAAAGTCATATGGTGGTGGCCAGTAATATGGAGGACTTTCAAAAAGAGCTTGATTCAGGAAAGGTAAGGGGATTTACCACTTCTATTTTTGTGCTTCACACCCTTTTTATCTATTACAAATAATGGTTTTATCAGAGTATGCTTTTAAGAGAGAGTAATGTAAACATTTCATTCAGGTTACAATAACCTCACTGTCATTATTCTAATGCAGTGACAAAACACTAAGTCTCATATAAGGGTCCAGGTAAGAGTTTAAAGTACAAGATATTTACAACAAGGAAATTTTACCTTTATGACCTGAGTAGAAGCCACTGGGTTCATTAAGAATTACTGCAAGTCAGAAACCTCCTTGGATTTATAGTAAAAACAACCAATCACATGGATGGGTGAGCTCTACTGATCTAAACTTCTGTGAAAAGCTATTGGAGTTTAGATGAGGGATTAAGTTTTCAGCACAGAATTGAGCTGAGGTTCTTTTACAAAGAACTGCTGACAGAATTTTTTAACCCTGAAATTCTGTCACAGATCAGGTTGGGAAATTGTTTATGTGTTTGGATTATGTGTTCAAGAGGTAGGATCCCCAGCATTAGTTAGTAAGGTTGTGTATTTTGTAAAGAGAGATCAGGAGGTTGTGTATCAATTAGATCCACTCTGAAAATTTCAAAATTCCTGATGAAAAATGTACAAGTGCCAAGAATCTGTAAATACTCTGTTGAACTTCAAAAATAATTTTAAGTTTTTCCTGGTTAGGCTTGACCTTCCATTATACTATTTTCTTGTATTTCTGTTGCACTTAAATTCAATTTAGAACACAGTTTAAAAGAATAATGATAAACTTCAGAGGAGGAACTGATTTAGCAATGTCCAGCACTCACTGTTGTGTGCAGCTAGATTCTAGATATGACAAAGAGAATTAAGCTGTTTTTATAATGCTTAGAAGTCTAATGTAATCTAAATGTAGTTAAGCTTGGAAATGTGAACAAATAATTTTACATTCCATGTTGGATATTTCCACTGTTTTGGTACTTAGGTTATATGAATTTATTATGAACTGCATATCTGAATTGAAAAAAAATCCAAAAAATATGCCATTTGGTCTTTGTTTCACTCTCTACCTATTTTTGTTGTACTAACATAATTTTATAGCATATGTATTCTGACTTACTTGAAATTGCACTCTGTTAGCACTGACTACTGTTTAAGAGCAAAATTTTTAAAGATTAAATAAGTGCTCCTGTTTAATTCCTGCTGCTGTTTTTCCCTTAATGGAATTGCAGACTCTTAGCTATTTAAAAATGTGGACTGTTTTTCATTTCACTAACGAAAGATTCATGCAAGAACAGTGTAGTAGAGTGGTAATAGTTCCTTTTTTCAGCTGCAAGAAAGCGAAGCTATAAAGTGAAGTCTACTAAAGGTGTGTTCCAGTTAATGCGAAATTGAGAATTTTGCAGTAAGAATGTAAATTAGGTGAAAGAAAGATGCACTGAGTGAACCTTATTCACAGTTTGGATAGAATTAAAATGAATGAAGGCTGAATTTAGTAGCTGAGGTTGCCCACAGCTATCAGCATTTCATGAGTGTTCAAATGTGTGTAGGGTGTGTCTTTTTTACAGTAATGCTACCTCTTGGTAGCAAACTGAATTTTCTCTGTGGAAGTCCATTAAAAAGTCGGTAAAATTGAATATAAAACTAGGGGTAAGAGATCTGCTCCAATAGCTAAGAGTAGTACAGAGAGGAGTGTGTGACATTATCATTTCAGCCTTGCTCTTTCAGTTTTCTTCAGTTAAGCTAAGTGAAGCAAAGAGCAGGAAGGTGCACACCCCACACCCCCCTCCCCGAAAAATGTGCTGTTGGCAGTTCTGTTTTCTTAAAATAATGTATGCTCAGAAAAAATGAAAAATCATAGTAACGGAATTAAAATGGGAACTTTGTTAGGGCACTGTCTTACAGTGTATAAGGTGAGCATTTGCTCAGTAGTTTGAAAATTTTAAACTTTTCCTGAAAAACAGAACATTTGATAAGAAAAAAGAGTGTTTATACTTTGCACAGAAGAAAGATGTATTTGGTTAAAAAAAAAGATTTAAATTTAAATGGTGCTTTGGTTTTGTGTAGGATTTTCCATACTGCACTGTGGAGGGATGGTTGGGCTTATCTGTTGCTCTGAAGAAGAGCTATTAAAATTCAATTGTAACAGTTGGAACTTTTCCCAGTTTGAGATCTGTATATGAGATCTGAAGGTCTTAGGAATCTTCCAAAGACAAAGATAATATTTTTACATGTGTAACTGTTGGGTTTTTCTCTCTCCCCTACTCTTCTCCCTTCAGATTGTACAAATCCCTTTCTGTGGGGAAATTGAGTGTGAGGACTGGATCAAGAAGACCACTGCCAGGTAAAATGTAACTGAGCTGGAGAGTATATACCAAAATCAAAATCAAAATGTTTTGAATATAAAATAGGAATGCAAGATGCCTTTGGGTAGAACACTTATGTACAGTCTCCTGCTGTCCTACATAATTGAATATATTTACTTTCTTAACTCTGGAACTTTCAGAATAATTAATGTGGTTTTAAGATTTATGTATGATAAACTTTATTGCACTTTTATTTTTAATAGAAATATGTATTTATTAATATATATATTTATTAATATGCTTTTATTTCAGGGATCAAGATCTTGAGCCTGGTGCTCCATCCATGGGAGCAAAAAGCCTCTGCATACCTTTCCAGCCACTCCGTGAACTCCAGCCTGGAACAAGATGTGTGTGCAGCAAAAACCCTGCCAAGTTCTACACCCTCTTTGGTCGTAGTTACTAAATCACTAGTGAAAGAACCTTCTCCTTTATCTGTGAATTGAACTTTTTTTAATAAGACTGAAATAGCCCCTTAATCTTCAATCGGTTTTGTGACCTTTTTAAATAATTCAAAGACAAAGCCATAAACCATAACCTGGCTCCCCAGTGGTCAGTCTTAGGCTAGCAGTAATTCACAGACTTTTCTGTAAACATCTCCAATAAAATAAAGATGTATTGTGAGCTGCAACATGCTGTGGTGGGTTTTTTCTGTGTTGCTCAGTAGGGAGGAATAGGTATCCTTTGCTCATGTTTTTTTTTCTGGTTTGGTGCATGTATTTCCATGTACATTGAGAAAATGCTTGAAAGGTTGGAGAGAATGTCATAAAAACTACAGTACACTTCAGCATGCTGACATCTACTTTCTAGATACAACATCTGCTTTTAATTTTGCCTTCAAATTTTTTAGTAGAGACTTGCTGCTAACCTGTAGGCATAGTAATTATTACCTTTAGAAAACTCCCCTCTGAAGCCAGGTGTTTCAAGGAATATTTTCATAAAAACATAGAATCATAAATGGCTTGGAAGAGGGCCTTAAAGATCATCTTGCTCCAAATCCCCTGCCATGACAGGGACACCTTCCACTAGAGCAGGCTGCTCAGAGCACCATCCAGCCTGGCCTTGAATACTTCCAGGCATGGAGCATCCACAACTTCCCTGGACAACCTGTTCCAGTGCCTCACCACACTCACATTCAAGAGTTCCTTCCTAATATCTCACCTGAACCTGCCCTCTTTCAATTTAAAGCCATTCCTCCTTATCCTATCACTACCTACCCTTGTAAGTCCCTCTACAGGTTTCTCGCAGGCTCCTTTAGGTACTGGAAGGTGATCTAAGATCTCCCTGAAGCCTTCTCTGCTCCAGGCTGAGCAACCCCAACTCTCAGCCTGTCTGCACAGGAGAGGTGCTCCATATCTGTGGGTCTCTTTATCACCTTTACTGGACTCATTCCAATAGCTCTACATGGTTGTTATGTTGGTGGCCCCAGAGCTGGACACAGCACTCCAGGTGGGGTCTCACAAGAGCAGAGGTAGATGGAAAGAATCACCTCTCAGATTTTCACCCCCTTGTAAAGCAAGTTTGAAAGATTAAATGACACCTTGTAGCAAGGTGCAGGTGGTGGCCATTTCTTGCAGATATTTTGCCAAGCTCTGTTTTTCTTATTTTGCAAACTAGCTTTAATAGCTGTCTTGACAGTGATACTGCAATGAGTAATGCAAAGGCAGTCTGAAGAGAGTTAAGTTCAGTGCTAGAGATTTTAGCCTGTGGTTCTACCTACAGCGTGTTTCATAAAACCTTTTTTGCTTTTCCTACCCTTATCAAGTGTTGCTCTAGCAGAGGAGGCTGGATGTTACAGTTGTAAAATCATTTTAAAAATAACATCACTTCCACTCTGAGCGCAAGATTGGCTTCTAAAAATAAAGAGGTGGCCCTGGCACAAAACAGTGGTTAGATGACACACACTTGATTTACTGTTTTCCTCCTGTATGGTTGAAGGCTGTCTACATGAACACCTTTCCCTGAAAAGAGGATAGTGAAAACTTGGTCATTAAAAAGTTGGACCAGTAAGATCCTCCCCAAACTCTTCCTGGCCCAACACTGCATAGCTGCCTGTTTCCAAAAAGATGGTTTTATGAAGCAGCCATAGTCTAAAGCATGCGGGAGACTTAGAGTGCTATTGCCAGATCTCTGTTTTTCAGACGTGCAGAATATTTGCTTTTCCCCAGATTCCTGGGGTCAGCCTTCCTAGTCAAAATTTTGAATATTAAAATTTGAACCTGGCATGTCCAATTTAAGATCGTGTGCCTTGTGCCCCAGTTTTTCCACAGAAAAGTAAAAAAAAAAATATTTCAGATCAGCTTGCTCAGAGTGCTTGAAACTTGGAAATTCTCTGTAATAGTCTTTGGATTATGGTTAGTCCTGAAGGGTTTGCATCAATTGCATCTTAAAATCATCTGTCTTCCATTTGTGTAGATATTTTCTCAGGTGTAGTAATGGGCAAAGGATTTAGGGAAGGATTTATCTGTGCATGCATTTATCTTTGGATACAGTTAACAAAGCAGATGAGTGGCCCTAAGGTCTGTATCTTGGTGTGCTGCCTCTAATGCTGGCTGGCATTGTACTTTGAGAAAGAGAGTGAGCAATAACACCAGAGTGATGTTTTCACAGCCTGAAATGGTGACTAAGAGTAGCCTGGAGAGGGATGTCTTAGGGTATAAGAGGCAGGAATGTGCCCAGATTTTTTGGCAGAGCAAACCAGATTTTTAAGAATAAATGAGCACTCACAGCTCCCACTGAAATGCTGTACAACACCCATATTTTAAAAATCAGATGTGGGAGCTCTTAGTAACTCAGAACAAAGGAAAGGCAAAACTAAATGCATCTTCTGACCTTATCAGTTTGAACAAACAGCCAACCTTCAACCAGTTGACTGGATCAAATCTTCGAGTAAACATGTTGACACAGTTCTTAGAAATGAGCTGCTATGAGCCTACAAATGGATTTGTTTGAAGACAGATTTCACAGAAGGCCAGCCTTTTTTCTTTTTTCTACCCCCCTCTTACTTTTCCTGAACATATTTCTTCCTGATCATAATAGGGCTTGAAGGGTCTGAAATGCTGATACCTTACATGCAGATATCCCTGTGATGATCTTCCACAAGGAGACTAATATTTGCCTGGGAGAGATAACATCCACATCAACCATCCTTTTGCCAAAAGCACAATCTGAGCTATCTGTGAAGCATTATAGAAAAAATCTGTCAGACCCTGAGTAGATTCTGTCTGTAAGAAAAACAGGTATATGAATTGGAATAATATACCACTGTTATAATAATACCAGTGTATAATAATATAACAATATAATAGTGTATAATTATATAACAGGAATAATATACACTGCTGTTGATTAAGTGATACTGCTTTGTACTGTATTGCAAAATTCCTGATGTTCTTTAGTTCTTATGTACTGATAAATTCGAGTTAAATTGTAAAGGGGGTGTAAGGGAAGTGCCTTAACATTGCGGTAGCAGCTCCTTATTGGAAACAGAGCACAGGTGAACATTTTAGCTCTGCTGCAGAGGGAGTGCTTCATTTATCTCTTGTTTTGGTAATCACAACCTCATGTAAGGCAGGGCTTTGGAGACCGCTGAAGCTCGACCTCGATCCGTACCCAATGAAAGGAGAAGAACTTGAAAAAAAATTCTCACCTTTCATGCTCTGTAGTTCAGGTAATAAAATAAGTCGTTAAACATCACTTTAATACAAGAAGGGAAAGAAAAACACAGTGGAAATAGCTGGGATGGAAGTGGTGACACAGGTGTGAGAAGATGAAAAGGAAGATGAGTAAGTGCCAGTTTTCAATGTTGTAATTAGTTCTAGTAATCCACCCTTCCAGGCTTAATGATGTTTTTAAAATGGCAGGAGGAGGGAAACCCTTGAGTTGCAGCTGCAGTGTGTAGGTAGGCAAATGACCAAATGTTAAAAGTTATGTATGTTGGCAGGAAAGGCTTCTAACAAACTGGACTTTGAACGTAAATATTTTGGCTGTTGAAACCCTGTGAGCAAAAATCCAGATGAAAAGTGGGGGTGGGTGTTTGTTTTTAACCTAAAGTTAATTCACCTTGGGAATCCTAAGGCCAGCAGGGGCATTTGGTAAGCTCGGGTTATCAATATTATCTTATCTCTCCATGGCTGTACTGCATGTAATTAATGTAATTTCCTTCTGTCCTACCTCGTAACTAACTGTGTGCATATATGTACACACATGGGCTTTTTAAATAAAAAGCTGGATCATAAAATTTTCAAGGAAAACGCCTGGTCTTATGGCCCATACTGCCTGGTGTGCCATTAGTGGTAGTTTGTGAGTTTGTGTTAATATGGGGACACTCAGAGCTCAACAAGTATTGCAATGAGTGACAAATAATGTTACTGCTTCAGGATGTATTTTCCAGAAATGGCACAAAGTACAAGCTAGGACGTCAGCAGTTTGAACTTCTGGTTGTGCTTTCCCCAAATCTGACTTTTATGTGCAAGCAAAAGAATTACTTTGAGACAGGTTTTCAAAATGGGAAAAAACAATGTGCTTTGGGTTTATTGTTAAGTCTCAGCTTCCATGTCCGTTGGCAGTTTGTTTAGAAAATGGCCTCCAAAATTTCTCCATATACATATACATAAGCAATGTTAAAATGTGCTAAAAGTACAATAAGTTGTTGTATAGTTGTTGTATTAGGTTGCTAAAATGGAAGATGCATCAATGCAGTTGTCTTTGAAAACTGTTCTATGGACAACATCTTCAGTATCACAAGCAGTTCATGTTCACTGTGCTCTTAAAAATCATGTCCACCCAACATGGATTTCAAATGTCTTTTTGCACAGGTGTATAGTAAGATTTTTTCAGTACTAAAATTGCTGGCAGCAGAAATGGCAGGAACAGATATGAGAAGAAAGTGTTATGCAAAAGAGAGATCTTTTCTAACCACTTAAAATTCTGAGCCCCCTTCTTATGCACTCCTGTCTGGGCCTTACTCAGTTTTTCAGGATACTGACACGGAGCGTAGTAGCAAGTGCTGGTGCTCCCAGTAGTCTTCCTAGGTTTATTTTTGGTTTTGTAGGAAAAAATACCTCCTGAGGGTGGGACACTCGCAGGACTGGAGCCCTCACAATGTCTTCACATGACAAATCTCGCTGAACTGCCCTTTAAACTGATTTATTGTTTTACTGCTTCTTATAAAAGTGGCTCCCAGGCGTGAGCAGCACTGACAGCTGAAGGGCAGGATCACGGGCAGGGAGCTGCTCCCCACTCTGCGCTGTCTCCGCAGATCCTGGGAGCAAGGAACAGGGATGGGCCGCTACTCGGGCCGCAGCAGCCGCCTCATCCTCATGTGCGTGGTGAGCCTCGCCATTTTCGCCGTTGAGATCTCAGTCGCCTACGTGGGCAATTCTCTCTCCTTGGCCTCAGATGCCTTTGCTGTTCTCTCCCACTTGATCTCCATGATCATCGGGCTGGTCGGCGTCCGGTTCAGCCGCGTCAAGTGGCACAAGGCCAGCACGTTCGGCTTCAGCCGGGCAGACGTGCTGGGGGCTTTCGGCAACTCTGTCTTTGCCACCGCGCTCATGTTCAGCATTTTTGTGGAGGCTGTCAAGAGGTTTATCAACCCTCAGAAGACTGAGAAAGCGCTGCTCGTCCTCA